TGTGTGCCCTGATCCCTTCTGTACACAAGCGTCGTTCTTCTCGTACGTCGATGACGCTCAATCGACTCCAATCATGCTGTGTTGTTGCTTCTTTTTGGCCGTAGAATGCGCACTACGCCAGTTCTCCAGGCGTACAAGAAATTAACGTCGACAACCGCCTCGGCATACGGTACCGTACAAGACAACAACCATGCTGTGTCGCTAGTAATACCAAGTCACCCACGACTAGCGCGTCAAGCCTGAGGCAGCAACGTTGTTTTGTTTTGTGATTCTAATCCAACGAGTATAGTACGCATCGCGGGGTCGGACTCTTCGTGGCGCTCAGGCTCGACGCTCGATGGCCTGTTCTTAAGCACAACGACGTCAGCTCTGGGACGAGAGCGATCTTTCGAAATCCCTCGTTTCAAACAGCTTCTACTTCAGCGTCGTCTTCAACGTAAAAGAGGACAATGACCGCACCCTACATATGCACCGGTGAGAAATGGTATAGTCCAACATTCCAACTGTCGTACGACGGCAATCAAAAGTGCCATGGCGCCAAAGTAGGGCAAGCCAATCACAAGGGCCGAGTACCCAGGATCCGCGTCCAGTTGCCGCGTGAGCAGCGCCAACAACGCGACGGGCGCGCCGACGCAAACAATCAGCAAGGTGAGGCCGCCACACGCCAGCAAGTTGGACGATGACGTGTCGTTATCATCGAGCAGAAGAAACATCAGAAACCCCTACACAGACACGTCCATGACGGAAATCGGTCAAAAGATGACGTACAAGACCGGCCAGCACAAGGCCTAGTAGCAGCCATGTGGGTATAAAGACATAGCCCCAGCCAAAGCCGAGGAGCCCGTCCAGTCGAAGTAGCACGAGCGCATACTGGAGCGTGAAGGCGATGCTCACGGCAAACCAGTCGCTGCACATATCCGCGGCGAGAAGCGACGCCAAGAGCACCGTCCACGGCCATCGAATGACGTCGTCGAGGCGCAGGGCCACGAGAATGTGAAAGACGACCAAGCCCATCGTGCTGTAGAGCGTGCCCCTACTCACAAGGTGTTGGAGCTGAACGACAGATGTCTCGGTGATGTACCTTGATAGAAAGGGCTTGGAGGCCGTGTCAGCGTCGCTCGCATCGTCGTCATTGCTGGCGTCGACGGCCGTATCGTCGCTGGGACTTGCGCCCATCTCGGTGCTAATGACCAGTTCGGTGGCTTTTTTGTCACTGGCGTTGTCATCCTCGTCGCTCGGGGCAGCGGCCTCGTCATCGGTACCGTGGCTGCTATTGGCCTTCACCTCGATGCTAGCGTCAAGAACGACGGTGGCGTCGTCGCTGGTCGTATCATCTGTGGTTGGCGACGAAGGCGAGGAATCCGTGATGACAAGCACTAGAAGCAGCAGCACAACGTCCGTGATCCAAAGCGGCGTCAGCGTTGCGGTCCATGACGCCGTGAGCACGCCGTCGGCCTTGAGACATACGAGAACTTTGCACATAAGTGGCAGCTAGAACAGGACAGTCGTCGAAGTGTAGTACCTGGCAGAAGCACGAGCGGGACACCGACGACGACCACGAGAAGAACGTAGAGACAGAGTAGGATTCGCAGAACGGGGTCTGTGCGCAGGCTCGAAGCGACAAAACTGCTCACCGCGACCATATCGAAGACGTCGGTCACCATGTCTTCCACTTGGGTCGTGCCGACGTCCGGCATCGCCAGCACGGTCGCCATTTGCACTTTGCTGCTCGATTGTGGCAGTGTCGATGCCATTGGCCCGATTTCAGCCAATCCTGTGCTCGTGTGAGTTTTTGAATTTTGATCGACGCCACGACTCTGCCGCTGGAGGCACGACATTCCCTCTCGCCACTTGTATACGTGTCGTGTGGAGCGAGATCGACCGATCTGCGCTGGGCTCGTGTATTGTCTGGCTAGCATCCACGCGCTCACGCTCGTCAGCGGTCGCCGATGTGGCGTCAAGTGCTGCCACGCGCGTCGTCACTACTTGTTGGTTGAAGGCGAGTAGTTAGTTCGAGGCAGCCAACGCGTCACGCTCGGCAGGCGCGTCGCGCAGTGCTTTTTGGGCGATGGCGGCCTCTTGGGTACACGCAGCGAAGACTCGTTTGCTCTGAAATAGCTGGATCTGAACGTATTTGGCGGCTGCATCCGCCGCTGCCATCTCCATTTCGTGCTCTTGTTGACGATTAGCCGGCGTTGCGATGGCCACAGCAGCTTCGCGGAGGGCTGTGACTTGCGTAGTGAGGTCGGCAATTGCGTGTCTCTGGTGGCGACTGCTGTTTGCAGCGTCAGAATCGTCTGAACAGTGTCGAGCAAATGACAGAGCGTGGTGTCGTACGCGTCCTTGGCCGCCGACAAGAGCTTGTAGGCAAAGCCAAGCGTCAAGGTTGTCATCGTGGTAGATAAGACCATTTTCGTAAATGCGATCGATGAAAGGTACCATGCTTTTACGCGCGTATACTGGTTGACCGCGACGCCTGGAAAGATTTGACCGACCGTGTCGTCACGGGCCTCACCCGCGGCCACAAGCGTCGTAGGGCGACGACAGAAGAGCCAGACGAGCCCCCGCGCCGCCGCCTGCGCAGCCACGGACCGGCGAGCGAATGAAGAAGAAGGAGATTGCTAGTCTCTACGTATGCGAAGTCTTTGTGTAATTATGAAGATAACGCGAAACACGTTCATATATATATACTGGTTTCATAATGCCTAGCTCTACAAGGGCTAGGGATCAGATGCGTCGTTGAAGCTGTCGTTGAATGTCTTCACGTGTCGTATCCTTTTCGCTCGAGATTGAGAAGTATTGCAACATCCAGTTGGAGCTGTCTGGATTCCAGTGTAGTTACTTGCAACGACATGCCGCAAAAACAGCTACGCATTCGAGAAGATGTGCTACTACTAACCACAATTACATGGCGCTCTTGGCGCCAAGCAGCTGGACTAACGATGCAACTGTGGCCTCGAGGCGCGCGACCTGGTCCGTGAGCATCGCGAGCCGCTCGTCGGACGAGAGCTCGTCCGGTCGAAACCCGAGGCGGCTCTCTTCGGCAGCGCCAAAGACGAGGCTTTGGCCATGGTCCAAATCCACGTCGTCGTCGTCGTCGTCGTCGCCCATGTAGAGGCCGCGGCTCGACTCGATGAGCGGTGCGACCTCCTGCAGCTCGATGTCGGCGCGCACTGGCAGTGGTAAAAGCCCTTGCGTCTTCTCACTGCGCAAGACGCACGCGGCGAAGCTCACGAGGGCCTCTCGCTTGGCCTTCTCCATGCGAGCCTCGACGCTTTTTGTCATCATGGCGATGAGGACGTTGAGAAGCATGACCATCACGAGCGTCGCGTGGGTGAGCAAGAGCGTGTAGCCAAGCAGGACCGCGCTCGTCGTTGGCAGCTTCGCAAAGTTCGACGCATCAAACTGTTGCAGTAGCACCAGGAACGTTTGCAGAAAGCTCTTGGGGAGCGAGTCGTACGCCGAGATCTCGGTCATGCTCTGGAAGAGGAGGTAGTAGGCAAAGCCAAAGGCGAATTGAAACGGAAGGTAAAATGCGAGAAAACGAGATACGTCGAGAAGCATTGCGCGCATCATCGGAATCAAAAACCCAGCCGTGCCGTGGACCTCGAGGTACTGGACGCTGAGGGCCCAGAGAAGAAAGGTCAAGACCGTTCCAAGCACAAGCTGAGGGACGTTGCCAGCATCGGGCGTCGCGACGAGCTGGCCGATCGCATAGCCCGTGACGACAAAGAACGTGGGCATCTGCAGCGCATTAAAGAACGAGCTGTAGTACGTTGCTTCGCTGCGTCCGAGGAGCATCAATGCAAACTGACTCAGTACGTCAAAAGGAGCTACGCACGCCCAGTAGGCGCCATGCTGAAGCCAAAGCGGCCAACTGGCGACGTGCACCACGCGTGACTCGGCCGGTACCTCCCCAAAGAGCTCGGCGAGCTCAAAGAGCAAGAAGTACGCGCCCGAGAGAAGCAGCGTCACATGGTTGCAAGAGACAAAGGCCGCATAATCCGCGACCGCTTCGACCGCCGCGGTGTTGGCGTAGAGGCCGCCGGCAACGACGGCGCAGACGCTGGTCGTGACAAAACACCAGAGCTCCTTGCGACGATACGTAAAGAAGCGGCACGCGAGAAGACTCAGCAGCAGTGATAACATCGCGACGGCCCATATTGACGGGAAACGGATCGGTTGGGCGTCGCGCGTAGCTCGTCGCCACGGAGAGCGTCATCGAGAGCAAGAGCACACCGTACATGAGGAGCTGCTCGAGATACATGCGCATGCCAAACGCCTAGCCGACACGTCAGCGCGAGGCGAGCAAAGCAAGCGTACCTCCCACTTCATTTGAATCACAGTGCGCATGACTGCGTGCTCGAGAAGGGCCTTGGCCTCCTCGCGACTTCCGGTGAGCGGGCCCTCGAGGATACGGTAGAGCGGCGTCGATCGAAGCTGCGTCTCGCCGTACACTTGCCGGATCTAGGCGCGAGCATGGCACAACATGGAAGATGCATGCTATAGTACCTCGGCTTCGTGCCCAATGCACTTGGTCAGCTCCGCCTTGGCCTTCTCGAGCTTACCGGCCTTGAGCGCAGCGCTGAAGAGGTGTAGGTCAAAGGCCTTTGCGGGCGATGGCGGCATGGCGACGTGTGCAGTCGTTCGACCAAGGTGATCTGTCCATACGAAAGAACACACCGTGCCGCAGAAAAGGCAACGTCATGTTAGAACAACGTATCTTCTGTTAAAACGGTTTGTATTGAAATATAACAACGTGTTCGAGCTCGTAACGCACTTCTCAATGATGTTATAACGTTGTTTGCGTGCCATTTCGTCAACAATCCGCACACGTCCATGACGTGGCGCTCGGAGAGAGCTCCACGTAAATAAAATTGTTCCAATACAAATAATGATATAGTTTAAAATATATGTATAAAAATGGACCGGTTGAAGGCCACGGCAGTGCTTGACGCCGATCGTCGAAAGACGTCCATCATAACTCGAACAGCTGCTGCGCACACTCAAGCGCCAAGGGTTTAGCCACAAGGTGACGCTCGCAGAGGTGTTGTCGGACAGAAGCAGCGGCCTCGAACTCAACTTACACGGTACAGTATGGCCCACATGCAGGCTTTGCTCTACTAATGTTAGGGAGTGAATACACTTTGCTTTGGCTCTCGCAAACCAACTAATTCGAAGAGTCCTTTTTATGGACTCTTGCATACAACTTGTTGAGGCATATCACGTCGTGGCCCAGACACGCGGCAACGGTGTCGCTTCCGGTACTGTAGATGCCTGCACTCGTTGAACGTACCCAGCCATTGGCAGCTGGAGCGTCCATTTCGAAGACAGGGCGACGCACTTTTCAATCCTCGCCCGATGACCGACGTCTTCTCGCACGAAGCGTTCCGGCGCAGCCTCCAGCGCGACTTTGACTTGACGGCCGCGATCGCCGAGCTCAACAAATGCCTCGTCCAGCCACGCCAGGTCTGGACGCGCGACGACATTTCGCCTGTGTACCAAGAGTTATGACTAGGTGTTTGAAGTCTACAACGGCCTCGACGATGACGTGAGCCACACGCCGCTCTTCTATATCCTCGACGCCGACCCGCGCGTCCAGCGCAAGCTGCTTCCTACGCAGCTCTTGCAGCACCCAGTGCTCCGACAAGTGATTGCGATGAAGTGGCAGGTGCGTACTATTTTCTACTCGTATTTTCTACGAGTCGGGATGCTGACTATCGACTAGAACTTTGGCCTTCGGCGGTACTCCGAACAACTCGTCATGTACATGCTCTTGCTGCTCTCGATGGGGCTCACGACCACCGAGTCGTGCGCACCGACGTTCATCGCCCTCGAGATTGCACTGGGGCTCGTCTACGTGGCGTGCCGAGGCTTGCGCTATCCCACGCGGCACTGCTTTGCACTCGCGACTGCGTTTGTCGTCGCTCTCGTCATCGTCACGCTCCCGCCGGTGCTTGAGGCCCACGCCTCCCGCGCCGCACTTGCCACCATGACGCACCTCGTGCTGCTTTTCTCGGCGCTCTATTTTGCCATCTTTGAGCTTAACGAGATGTTTGCTGAAGTCGATCCGACCAACCGCGAACTCGACTTGGGCTGCGCGAGCCCGATGCTCAAGAAGGTTCTCTACTATGCGATTTTTTGCCCTCTCTCGGTCGTCGTGCAATTTGCGTTGTTGCTCTGCGGCGCGAGCGACGCCAAGTATTTTGCGGCCTCGGATTTCAACAAGTTGCAGCTGCCGGCGTTTGTGGCCACTTGCGTCGTCGCGGGCTGTGCGCTGCAAGGCACGCATCTGCGTTCGCTGAGTCTCTCGCTCCAGCTCGTCCTCTGGGTGCTCTCGCTGCAGTATTTTGAAGTCCACGCGGTCCTTGGCGTCTATGTCCACCTCCTCAAGCGCATGCTGCGCCAAGTGCTCGCGATTCTTGTCCTCTACGTGCCGTGCCACATTGGCTTGACGCTGAGCTACACGCAGCTCTTCCAGCATTCGAACGAACCCGCGTACAGCTCATTTGCAGCCTCGAGCCGGTCGACGTACCTGGTGCTCTTTGGCCACTTTGATTACGGGCCGTTTGAGCGCCTTGGCTCGACGCTCGGCTATGCTCTGCTGCTAACGCATGCCACGATCGTGCTGCTTTTGCTGGGCAATATGCTCGTGGCGACGATGGTCTCGGTGATCGACCAGCCGCTGGCGCAGCAGGAGGCGCTTGTGAGTCTGGCCGAGTGTGTGCTCAGGAGCGAAAAAGCTGCGGGGCTCGCCCGGCTTGAAGCTATCTCGGTCGAGGACGAGCGTCGCCTTTTGCTTTTGCGCGTCGACAGCGAGACGTACGTTGCAATTGCGATCGAAGAAGGTCCGTCGCTGCACGACCACGTCGCGTCAATGCGCTCTGAGCTCGCAGACGCGCGCGCAATGCACGCCGCGTCGCAAGCCACGCTCGAGCAATTGGTGACATTGGTGCAGACATGGAAAAAGGACAAGTCGCCATGAAACATGAGTTCTATTGGGGCATGAATACAAACTACACTGGGATAAATCTCTCCATGCGCAGCTTGCTCCCGACGACCAAGGGCTGGTGCCAGCTCCCACGCATTCAGGCGTACAAGCTACGTATGCCAAGTCGTCTGTGAGTGAGTTTTTGCTTTTATGATTTCAACGCCAACATGTTGGATTGATTGATGTGGGTTCTAGGTCCAGTATTGCGTCCACCAGGAGCTCGCAAAGATATCAGTTCTCGCGGCAAGAGGTCGTGTGCGAAATCTGGATCGTAATCTTATTCGACCCCAATTTATCACTTTGCGTATTTTGAAAGCCTTCCACTACCTACATGGTAGATCGTGAATCAATACTAGAATGACTGGACCGGTAGCCGCAGTCAACATGGCGACTGGTGCGCACGAGGATGCCTTTATTGGACCACACTTGCTGGACTTTGGCCAATGTTTGAGTATCGTTTCAGCAGCCGTCGAACATCCTCCTTGGTTATTATCCACGGACCAGTCGACTGAGATTCAAGTCACGGTCTATGCCGCCACTGCGAGTATTCTGCAATCCTACTGAACAACTACGTATTATTTCACTTTAGGACGAGCCCTCGTGTGCAATACAATACGGTGCCCGCCAAGTGGTGACTCGATAAATTGCGACTGGTCGAGTTGATACACTGTTGTTTTTGAAACGGGCGTGACACACATGTTTTACAAGCTGAAACCGATAGATGTAGACCAAAGGGATAAAGCTATTGTATATATACTACCTGGATAGAGTAAAATTCACTCACTGCTGCTTCAGACCATTAAATCGTAGAAACGTAGACAAGGTGGTGGTGCAACTGTTGCTGTTCAGCTTTGTGTGGCTGCCATGAAGTTGATAAGTTCATCTGCGATCATTTCCTGGACACGATTGTGAAGAGCGACATCCTAACGTTGGAGTCACTTTTCCTTTAGCGACGAGCATGAGCCAAGCCATTCCCGGCGCACCACACCAAGAGTTTGATCTCCACAAGCTGAAGTCCTACGCCGCGCAAGGCTTCGTGCGCAAGGCGACCAAAGAGCTCAACAAGTGTGTCATCGCCGACGACAAGCTCCAGCGCGGCGACGACCAGAATCCGAACCGCGGGTTTCATTATGCCTTGGTACGCCAAACGATCCTCTCTTCTCTGCGCGACCGCTCTCATGCGTCGACGAAATTGAATAGCTGCGCGAGGTGTACGGCAACACCGGCGACGCGGTAAAGGACACCGTCCTTTTCTCGATCCTGCCCCAGGTGGAGTCCAAGGAGCTCCTCAACCACAAGGTGATGGGACGTGTCCTAGCGATCAAGTGGCAGGTAGGAGTCTCGTCTTGTTTTCGCAACTCATCTCGTTGTAGACTTTTGCCTGCTGCATGAACTTGCAACAGATCATGCTCTACCTCTTGCTGCTGATGACGCTGACGCTTTCCGTGACGATGGACCTCGGCGATGGCGAGTCGCCCACCTTCCACACGCAGCTGCTCGTTTGGCTCAACGTCGGCGTCGCCCTTGTGCTTGGGCTTATCGCAACCAGTTACTTTCACTACGCGAACCGCAAGCTCTGGGCCGTCAAGACCATCGGCGTCATCGGTCTCGTGCTCCTTGCGCTCAATTTCTGCGCCGATTCCATCGCTGCGCACGTCAACTGGATTTGGTTCGTGCGCTGCAACAACGTCGTGCTAACGCCCACGGCGCTCTTCTTTATCCGCTTTGAGATCAGTGAGCTCTACGGCGAGATCGTCAAGAAGCGTGACACACAACATCTCCACGTCGTTGAGATTGCTCTCGAAGCCACCATCGATTTTTTCCTCAGCTTTTTCGGCCGCAACGCGTCGCACTACTTCAACTCGTTCTTCAACAAGGTCCAGCTCCCGACCTTCGTCGCGATCCTCGTCTTTGTCATCACCGAGACCTTTTACCCGTGCGGTGACGACGTCCGCTTGTACTTTGGCATCATCATCACGTTCGCGGCATGGTCGACCAGTATCCAGTACCTCGAGATCCACGGCACGGCCGGGTACCTCATCTCGCTCATGACGTTCATGCTCAACGACGTCGTCAAGTTCATGGCCTTCTACCTCCCGTTCCAGTGCGCGTATGCGATTTCTTACTACCTCTTGTTTGAAGGCCGCGGCGTCGACGCCTACGCGACCATCGCCCACAGCTTTGTGACCACGTTCCTCGTCATGCTCGGCCAGATCGAACTCGAACCGTTCGAGAACCTCCCGGCGCCGGGCCCATATGTACTGGGCTACACGCTCCTCCTGACGCACGCGACGCTTGTGATTGTCATGCTCCTCAACGTCCTCATTGCGATGCTCAACAAGTCGATGGACAAGGTCATGGAGAAGGCCAAGCTCGAGGTCCGCGTGAGTTTCGCCGAGTGCATCCTCCGGAACGAGAAGGTCTACGGGCTTCGCCCGATGCCCGAGCAAGATCCGTGCGCAGCTTTGGCGGCCGAAGAAACGCGTCATCTGCTGCATGGTTCCCACGGTGGCGCAGAAATAGTCGAGGTGGACGATGCCGAGCAAAACAAGGCCGATTTTACGACGCTCCCAGATGACGTGGCCACGCTTTGCAAGCGTCTGGATGAATCCGAGAAGCATAACGCACGTCTCGAGGCTATGCTGCAGGACATTATGCTCCACTTGAACATCGCGCCTCGTGCCACAGCGTAAAGTTTTCGAATCAGAAATTAGTGTTGCTGGCGTAGTTCACGTGGGCCTTTGCATATGCACCTGCTCTCCTTTGCGTAATTGCAATTCGCATATTCTTATAGCTTTAGTACAATCAGAGAGGCTCAACGCAATCCAACCACAAACGGACGGCCACGGAAGCATCCAACGGACGGCTGTCAATGGCCAGGTGATAGCTACTCGTCGTGCCAGTGACACGTCTAACACATATCATAACAGCTTTGTGGATGTTATAACACGCAGCTGCGCCGGACAGGCCGATTTGGGTCATTTCGCCTTTGCAGCCAGGATGGCGACACCGTCGGCGACACCCGTCAACAAGAATGCGTTCAACGCGACGGTCTTTGAGAAGGCGATCACGGGCAAAAAGCTGCGCCTCGCGGTCGCAACGGCCGAGCTCGACAAGTGCATCGACAACGAGCACGAGGTTGACTCCACTGCGCATGGCGATCGTCGTCTCACTCATATGACTATGCTATCTTTGCGAGTAGCTGCGTCAAGTCTACGGCGTTTTGGGCGAAACGGGCTTGAACGAGACACCGCTCTTTCTCGTCCTCCAGAGCCCGCAATACAAGAACCGAGACGAAGCCAAGCAGCTTCTCGAGCACCCGGTCATGCGCAAGGTCATCATGCTCAAGTGGAAGGTATGCCATTCTTCTTCTTGCCTCGGCTTATCTCTCGACCTAGATATTCGGGATGCGCATGTACATGGAGCAAGCGCTCATGTATCTCTTGCTGCTCATGACGCTGACGCTGTCCGTCTCGATGGACGTGAGCGACGACGACGCGTTTCCCGCGCAGCTCTCGGTGTGGCTCTACATTGGGCTCGGCCTCATCACCGCGCTGGTCGCGACCTTCTTCTTCTTCAAGTACGCGTACCGCGCCTTGTGGTGGACGTGCGTCACAGGCCTCATTTTGCTCGAGTGGCTCTTCACACGCACGGTGCTGAGCCCGTTCCTGCACGCCCATGTCGCCTGGCCAGCGTTTGTGTACGTCAACAACGTGCTTTTGGCGATCGTCGGCATCTACTTTCTCCGCTTTGAGCTCAACGAGATGTTTGGCGAGCTCAGCGAGAGGCACCGCGAGTTTGACTGCGGCATCGAGTCGCTTTCGCCGCGTCTCAAGAAGCTCTTGTACTACGTCGTCTTTGCGCCCTTCATGGTCATCGCGCAGTTCCTCCTTATGCTGCTCGGGCACGTTGAAGCCAACTATTACCAGTCCGACTTCAACAAGGTGCAGCTGCCAACATTCATCGTACTCGTCGTGTACGCGGTCGCCGAGCTCATAATGCCCTTCAAGGCCGACGCGCGGCTGTGCGTCGGCATTGGCCTGACCTTCCTCACGTGGGCGCTGAGTGTGCAGTACCTCGAGGTGCATGGCACGGCCGGCTACTTGATCCCGATGATGAAGCGCATGCTGCATGACGTGTACCGCTTCATGGCCTTCTACGTTCCGTTCCAGTGCGCCTATGCGTTTGCGTACTACCTCCTCTTCCAAGACCACGAAAACGCGGAGGGCTACGACACGATTCCCAAGAGCTTTGTGACCACGTTCCTCGTCATGCTCGGGCAGATCGAGACCGGTCCGTTTGACGAGCTCACCGACGCGACGCAGTATGTATTGGGCTACACGCTGCTGCTGACGCACGCGACGCTCGTGATCGTCATGCTCCTCAACGTGCTCGTTGCCATGATGACCAAAAGCGTCGACGGCGGCATGGAGAAGGCCAAGCGCGAGGCCCTCGTGAGCTTCGCCGAGTGCATCTTGCGCAGTGAGAAGACGACGGGCCTCATGCCGCTACCCGAGAATGCGCTGCCCAAGCGCAAGCTCACAGAGCTCGAACCGCTCGTCGTTGTGGGCGATGCGCCCATGTACCTCGAAGCCGCCTCGTCCAAAGACTTGAGCGACGACGTGGAAGACGACGGCCTCGGCTTCAAACCCGACGACAAGTCGAGCGACGAACTCGTCGAGGAGCTCACGGCGGAAGTTGCCGGCCTCAAGGACGAGCTCGCCGAGATGCGCCGTGACATGCAAGAGATGCTGCAGCTCCTCAAAACCATGAGCCACCCGTAGCTTGATCGTAGAGTAAGATACGTGCTTCACCCCGTCATCGTTTCTAAATGCTGGCTGCATATGCGCTGTAATCGGCTCACGCATGCAGCTGGAGCATGACGCACTGCTGCTGGCGGCCGGCATGGGCGGTCGAGGTAGCAAGCTGGGGTAGCTGGGTACTAGCCGCCTGGATAGCCGCTACTGCCAAGCTTCTGCGGGTGAGCTGCAGGTATCCAGGTAGCAAGGGCGATCGAGGTACTTGCAACCTTCGCGATCTTTTGGCCTTCGAAAGTATCCTCGAGAACACCCTTCTTGTGCAAGATATTTAACGCGTTTAAACATGCATATGGTGCCAACGCGCTAAAGCCACCACTACGCCATTCGAGGGTTCCCAGCTTTGCGGTGCCCAAGCTGGCAATGCCTCACCAGCTGCACACAACACGGATGCTGGCGCCTTGTCCGCCGGTGACATCCATCAATTCTTTTGAATACAACCTAACGACAACTGGTCAGCTGCGACGTCCAACTGCAAGACTCGGACCATGGATCGAACGAGCTTTCGCGAGCTTCACACCGTGAGCCCAAGACAAGCCACTGCATCGAGTACTAACAACCCCTGATTCAAGCCTTTTGCATGCAGCAGTGCGTGTGCTTGAGAAGGCGGCCGCCCTTTTTAATAAAACGCTCGATGCCCCTTGAACCTACTTTAACCTGTTGACGGCCACAAAAACGCAATGCAAATCTTTTGACAGTGTGCAATTTGCGATGCAGCGGTTCCCGAGCCCGATGAAGGTCGAGCCCAAGGCAACGCCGTCGCTCGAGGATGGCGACGTCGAGCACTTCTCCGTCGGCGCCTTCCAGCGCGCCATCACCGAGAACGACCTCGAGATTGCGGTCAAGGAGCTCAACAAGTGCCATGGCAAGGCCGACGAGGTAGAGATGGCATCGACAGGATGCGTGGCCGCTCATCGTACTCGCTTCGCTAGCTGGCGCGCGTCTACAATGGCATTGGCTCGGACGCCGACGTGAACCAGACGCCGCTTTTCCACATCTTGCATCCCAACGTCCGTCGCGGCGAGACGAGCGATGCCAAGCAGCTGCTCGAGCACCCGAGCATGCGCAAGGTCGTCTTGATGAAGTGGAAGGTACTCGCTCCATCATCCTTGCATCTCCCACATCTTAGATGGGTCGTGCGTGCTAGAACTTTGGCCTCGCCAACTACATGGAGCAGCTCCTCCTCTACCTGCTCTTGCTCATGACGATGACGCTCTCGGTCATCATGGACCGCAACGTCGTTTCGCCCAAGTATGCGCTGCAGCTGCTCATTTGGCTCAACATTGCGACGGCGATTGGCGTCACGCTCGTCATGCTGCATCTCTTCCGGTACACGAAGCGGATCCTCTGGGCCGTCATGACGGCGGCCGTTCTTGGCGGCGCCCTCGCATTTCTCAACCTCTTTATGGGCCTTCTCCAGCGCTCGATCCCGTGGTGCTACTTTGTGTGGGCCAACAACCTCGTGCTCGGTGCTATGGGCGTGTACTTCCTGCGCTTTGAACTCCACGAGATGTTTGCCGAGGTCGCTTCGCACAACCGCCGGTCGGGCCTCGACACCCCGTGGCTCCTCTCGCACCCGCGTGTCGATCGCGCGCTCTACTACTGCATCTACTGCCCGATCGCGATCGTCATGCAGTTTGTGAGCATGCTCCTCGGCGCAAACGAAGCCAAGTACTTTGACTCGCACTTCAACAAGGTCCAACTGCCCACGTTCATGCTCCTGCTCGTGTATGTGCTGCACGAGTGCTTTGCGCCCACCTCGGACCACTTTCGACTCGTGGTTGGGACGGTCCTCACGCTACTGCTCTGGGTCCTCGGCCTCCAGTACCTCGAAGTGCATGCGACCGCCGGGTATTTGATCCCCATGATGCGCAACATGCTCGGTGACGTCTTCAACTTTCTCGCGCTGTACCTGCCGTTCCAGTGCGCATATGCGTGTGCCTACTACGCCCTCTTCCAGGGCTCGGCCGCCGCCCACATGTACGACTCGGTCGTCAAGAGCTCCGTCACCACGTACCTCGTCATGCTCGGCGAGATCGACTTGGAGCCGTTCGAGACGCTAGAAGACACGACGCAATATGTGGTCGGGTATGTCTTGCTCTTGAGTCACGCCACCATTGTGATCGTCATGTTGCTGAACGTGCTCATTGCCATGATGGCCAAGACCGTCGACGGCGGTCTCGATTCCGCCAAGCTCGAGGCGCTCGTGAGCTTCGCCGAGTGTGTTCTCCGGAGTGAAATGACCCAAGGCCTTCGCGTGGTTTCCGCCAACGACGACTCGGACGCCGCCCTCCTCTTGCAAGAAGAGAGCTCGGATATGGCATCCGACGAGCCCGAGTTTTGCCTCGATGGACCGTCTGCGGCCGAAAGCCTCACCGATTTGAAGAAGGACATGGCGGTGATGCAAGCCAAGATGAACGAGATGCTCGCGCTACTGCATACGATGCAAGCTCGCCAGACCACGTACCGCTAAGAAGTGATTTTGTAGCCTTTTGCTCACTAGAATGGACGCGTTGCTTTGCGTATACTAGCCAATAGCACCTGGCCAAGGGTTGTCGGACTCTGGTGCATTCGGGGTTGCCTGCCATCGTCGTTGAACCTCTGACGACGGCAATACCCCATCGACCGTCGGTGTGTGGGCACTGTTCCGCGCATGTTCTCCAAACGAAACGGTCGCTTAAAGAGTACCAATATCGCTCCCTGTGCACCACGGAAATCGCAACACACATACTGCATAAGCGAATATCTTGTGGCTCCGGTTGTAGCAACCCGTTCTGGGATTACTGTGAGGTCTCGAGCTTGGAGAGCACAGTTGCCGTCTGCTGCTTGAGGATCTTTCGAATCGTAATCGCGACTTCCTTGCCGGTAAACTCGCCGTCTTCTTCGAAGGCGTCTTGGCACGCAAAGTAAATGTCGTTCATGAGCTCCTTGAAGACGTCGGTGGTCGCGGCCGCCGCTTTCGCCCGCGCGTCGTCGGCGCGCTCTTCCGCTGCGCGCAATTGAGCTTCCAGCGCCGCGTGCTTCTTGCGGCTGTCGTCACCGGCCGCCACGAGTTCGTTCAAATGCTGCATGGCCTCGGCCGCGTCCCGGTTGTGGCTCTCGCGCTCGGCTTGCATTTGCGTGCGCGTGCGCTCGGCCGCTTCCGTGGCGGCGGCGGCCGCTTCCTGCAGCTGCGCTTCGCGACTCGCTTTGGCCTCTTCGATCGATGCCAGGCGCGCGAGCAGTGCTTGCTTTTCGTCGGCCCACTTTTTCTGGGACGCCATAGCGACGCTCCGCGCCTCTTCTAGCTGGCGCTCGTGCAATGCCGCGTCGGCCGACGTTTGAGATTGTGTCTGCATCGCGCGCGTGAGGTGCTGCACTTGGTCGTCGGCCGCGAGGCGGCGGTTGCGCTCGTCGTCGGCGCGGGCAAGTGCGCGCGACAGGTCTGCTTCGACCTGCGCGCTGCGCTGCTTGGCGTGGTCGAGCGCCGCTTGGAGGTTCTGGAGCTCGGACGAGATGCGGGCTTGCGACGACGACTGCTGCTGCATGCGCTGGTTGTCATTGTGCGCGCGGTCGAGGTCGTCCTGGAGTTGGTTTGAGCGGTACGTCACGTCTTGCAGCTGCTGAGAGAGCGCGCTGATTTCATGCTGGTATTCTTCGTTCTGGCTCAGGACCTTCTCCATGCTCTTGAGCAGCGACGTGTTGCCGTACGACGACGACGACGATGACGTGTCGCGCCGGTAATAGCTTGATGTCGTGGATGGCGACGCCCGGTGCGCCAAGAGACGGTCCATCTTGGACTGCAAATCGAGAAGCATGCCTTCCATCGACAGCGTAGTTCGCGCCACCCGCTGGATGCTCGCATCGAGCTCGGCGCTGTTGGCGGCCACCGGCGCCGCTGCATACGGAGGCGTGAACGGCGGCGTGGACGCATATGTGGCCGTTGTCGGCGTGTACACGGGTGCTGGCGCCGGCGTAAACGACGAGAGGAACGGCGTCGGTTCAAAAAACGCCGACGACGGCGGCGCGTGCATCGAGAGCGGCGCGTACATGGTCGACGCCCGCACGACCGGGTCCGACGTCGGTTGCCGCGGCGGCGTCACGGGCGACGACCGGACGGGCGCCGGTGCCGGGGCTGGCGTCGGTGCCGGCTGTCGGGCCGCGTCTTCCCACTCTTGACGCATTTTAGCCAAGGCGGCTTGCTCCTTAAGCAAGGTTTCCTTCTCGCGCATGAGTGCGTCGAGTTGCGGGCTCGGCGTCGATGTCGGTGTCGGTGTTGGTGTCATTGTCGGTGTGCGCAGAGGCACCGGTGTCGGAGCGGCCTCTGGCGGTGCCATGGCCAGAACCAGTGGCGTCTGGACGCGCGACGACGGTTCGGCCGATGGCGTCGGTGCATCCAACGAGCTACGGCGCGAAATCGGCGCGACGGACGAGCTCAGTTGCGGGAGGAGCACCGCGCCTTGGCTGCTGCCCATACGTGAGAGGAGCGCCATGCGGTTCACGAGGTCACCGTGGCGCTCGTCCGTGGGCTCTGCGACAGGCGCCGCGGTCGGCTCGGACGGCGGCGTCACGTGGCCTCTCTTCTCCTTTTTGATTTTCAGCAGTTCGATGTGCGCGAGGATTAGCGTCTTGGGCGACGTCGACATGGGGAGGTAAATGAAGCGTCGTCCGCCCTTTTGCATGCCAACAAGCGCTTTCGAGAGGCCGGGGATGCTCTCGGTGCTCGTGTCGCCAAGGCGCAGTTTCTGGAGCTCGGTCACCGGCGCATGGACGATCGGCGTCGACGAAAGCAAGTCGGCGGGGCTCGCGTCGGCGCTTGTTGTCTGCCATGCGTCGATCGCGATGCCCACAATGTCGCCCATCTGCACGCCGTAGCCGTCGCCAACGACAACGTCTTCGAACGGCAGCGACGGGTCCAAGAACGAGAGGTGCGCCTTGATGGCCGCGATGGCCGTCACAAAGGCGTGCACGGCGGCGTCGTCCTTGAAGCGCATCGAGTAGTTGGTGCTATCGTCGTAAAAGCTAACATAGTGGTCTTGCTGGACCGTAAATTTGGCGTGGACGTCCGTAAGTGGCGTCGAGAGCACCTCGTCCCGCGCCGCGTTGTAGCAGAGGAGGCGGTAGGCCATCGCCGGCGACGCCAAGAGCGCGACGCCCAGCGGCGACTCGCTTAGCGGCTTGTGCGCCTGCGTCGCTGCGTCAAAGGCGAACGCGTAGACCGACCCGCTGTACACGAGCGCCTCGTTGTCGGCCATGATCCGGAAAAATGGCGTTGCGGCAAGAACCCCCACGTCAGAACAAGCGGAGCTAGAAACACGCAACTTGACCAACATCCGAGTTCGCGCCGCTGGAGTTCGCACCTCGCTCGGCGCACTCTCCACAAGTACTGTACATACTACCCTTGACTGTCTGTGTGATAGTGCCAATGAGGACCGTGCGACGAAGCACTGCCAACGACGACCATGTCACTCCCACGGGCAATTGGAGAGGAAGTCGCAAAAGATACTGTATATTCCAGTGTATCTGGCTTACAGCGTCTTTTTGGTCGGCGCATGCAGTGGCGTAAACGTGTTGAGGAACGTATACCGCGAAAAGACGACAAAGAGCCGTCGAAACCACACAAATTGGCTCGTGTGCTTGGCCATCGCCGCATAGTTGACCCACGGCGCAACCGCGACGACCGCGGTACGCGACGGCGACGTCCAGATCGCGTCCAGAGGCCCAAGGTACTTGTGCCAGAGGCGGACGCTGTCGAGAGCATACGCATGCAGAGGCAGCGGCGACGTTGCTAGCGCATGCTTGACGCCGTTATGCACGGAAATGTGGTTCGGATGGCCCGACACGCCATAGTCGTCAAAGGTCACCATCTAGGACGCTCGTTCCGTACAGAGCGAAGAAAATAAGATGGGAGATACCGTGTCGATCTTGTGTTTGGCCACAAACGCGAGCGTCGCGGTCGCCACGTCCGCTGGCGTCCAGATCGATTTCATGCCATCCTATCGACATCCAAGGTTCGTGCGCATGTCGTGAGCCTGGTCGTAGTACCTGGAACCGAGCGTCTTCAAGGACGGTGAGCGTGGCCGCGTCCATTCCGAGCTCGTGCCAGCAAGCCGCGAGTTCCTTGGTGCGGATCGCGCCGAGCCCATCGTAGTTGCCTGCATATTGCATGAGTCGCAAGCATCGCGTCGGATGAGCGTACCAGATGAGAGGCAGAGAAGGTGCCAGTGGACGTGCGGGCGCAGGCGAAGCAGGATCGGCACGAAGAACATGCTTTCGTCGTCCGGGTGGGCAATCACGAGGAGCACGTCGGGCCGCGACGCCGCCGCCTTGTCACTGTGCGCACGGTGCGCGAGGATGGTCTCCACAAAGCTATGGCTCTTCCACGACAGGTAGCGCAAGGCGACGGCCGCCGAGACGAGCGCGGCCAGCACCGCAGCAGCCCAGTCCATCTCGACCCCAAATCCCAAATGGCCCAAGGTGATTGGTCGACTGCCATCGTAATCATAATCATTCGCCAGCGTGCCGAAAATAGCAGAGCGGATTCGGCTCGGCTTCGTTGCAAGAAAGATGGCTCCTCCACACAGTCACCTGCAGCTTCACCTGCAGGCATGAGCGTTGCAGTCGGAGTCCTGCTGATTCTGCCACATCCGATTCGCACACGTCGACGCATCGACATGAGCGCGCGTCGACGTTTTTCTCTGCTGGCGTAGAAATTTGGCTGGCACCTATTTTTCGGCATCTGCCGAACCCTGTTGGAGACAGACCAGATTGCAACAGATCGCAATCTTGTTCGAGTCGCGCGGATGGCGATCGCGAGTGCCAACGCCGCCGTGCAGCAGCTCTTGTTGAGCCACATGGGCCTCGGGCCCAAGTTCAACTATAGGTCGCTCTTTGGCCTGCCCGAGTTCGCGGCGCTCAAGTTCAAGCAGACGCTCCTCACGCATGCTTGCATTACGCGCAGCTCGCCCGTCGTCATGGACGTCCTCCTCTTCCTGTCGCACACCATGTCGGAGATGCTCTTCCACGCTGAGCTGTGTCTACCCAAGCACCTTTTCGCGCTCGACCACTGGGCCAACCACTTGCGCCAGCAACAGCGCAGCCACCAGGTACGATGTACGACCTTATCGTCGTTGCAGGCGGCTCAGTCGCCTCGTGTAGAGCACCATCTTTGTGTCGCTGCGCGACTACCCGCTCATTGCGCTCTTCAAAAGCGTCGGGCGCATCAGCGAGCTGGCAGCCGAAGTCACGCGCTTGGTGCTCGCAGAGCCTGATGCGCAGCGCGCCAGCGCTTGGGTCGACGAGGCAACCGACCTCTTTGCCACCACGGCGAGCACGTCCTGGCTCCAAGCCCAACTGCGGCAGCACATTGCCTTTCAGCAGCTTTTGCAGCAAACCGAGGCGCGGGACCAGCGCGCGGCGCCACCGGCGATGGCCAAGGCTGGCTACTGCGACAAGCGATCGTCCAAAGGCGCCGCCGGTCTCAATTGGCACAAGCGCTTCTTCGTGCTGGATGGCCATCATTTTTGCTACTTCAAGCACGACACCGACAAGATGGAAGCGTCGACCAACCCGTTCTTGGACAAGAAACCGCGCGGCAAGCTCGTCTTGGACCAAACCGTGAGCGTCCGGCCAGCCGTGCACGACTCGAGCACGCGTGCCAAGCAGCTCCAACGACAATACTGCATCGAAGTGCTCATCCGCGGTGTGCCGACGATCCTCTTTGATGCGTGGACCAAGACAGACCAGGCCGAGTGGCTCGGTGCATTCGAAGCCAACATTCAGCGGACGACGTTCGACCCGATCTGGCTGCGCTTCCCGCGCCCTTGCGTGCTGGCGATGACGATCGCTCAGTTTCTGCGCTACACGATGATGTACCCCGATGGCTCATCGTCGACGGTATGTGTTGAACCTTCTCGATCGGAACCTGACGGCTCTTGTAGAACGACGACCAGAACGGACTCTACGTCTGGGACGCGCCGCGCGTGCGAAGCCTCCAGGCAGCCTACGACATTGACGCCAACCGCATTCTGTACGCCGCGCTCGTGCACTGCGCCGTGCGGCACGAGTGGGATGCGCTGGAAGCGCTCACACGCCCCGGAAAGGTGGGGCCTCGCGGCCGATCACTACCTTCTAAGTGTGCATGGTCCGACTAGGTCAAACGGCTCTTTACGTCCCAGCCGCAATCGACGATCGGGTTTGGTGCCTTCTTGGACGCTGCGCTCGAGTACAAGGCACCACCATCCGTGCTAGCGAGCTACGAAGCCGCGTACGCCAAGCAGACAAAGGGCTGGGTCTCCCAGCTCACGGACGCATAAGAACAACATGAATAGAACTAGTGTACGAGGCCACGCCGTCCAAAAGCGCCTGGTGTTTGCTGTACACCTGTGTATAGCTCGAGCAGGATAGCAACGGCTGAAGGTATATAGTCCACCACAAGTTGTCTATTGGAGAGTGCAAAACGCAAGTTGTAGTTGGTGCTGTGGACGAGAGATCCAGTGCACAATGTTTACTGTATTCCACCTATGCGAGTAACGGACTTTGCATTTTGACACAACCACTTTGCACTTGTTGTACTCTGCTCACCATTATTCTATCGTTGCTTCGACGGCTTGTGGAAGGACATGTTGGAGCGATTCGCAGTGTGAAAACCTCCTTCAAAGCCTGTCAATACTAGTATACCAGATCCGATAGATTGCGCGTTCCCCAGCGGGTTCGCACCAACAGGCGCCCGCCACAAACCGGAACATTGGCCAAAAGTGCCGAGGTGTAAACGCGGCTCTAAATATGGCAGCTATTATGGCAGTGCACATCAACGGCAGTACATGCGCAGGCAGCGAATGCGTCTTGCTTGTCGCAGTGCCCACCTAGCTTCCATGAGCCGCGGTCTCCTGGATGAATCTCGCCTGCCTCGCAATCGGGGAAGCCAGCAGCACTTCGTACCTCTTTCCTTTGATATCCTCGCATATCCTATCTCAAGATTGTGCACCGGCGTCGATCTGCTTGGTCATGCATTGTAGCCATCTTGCCAAGCAGACACGTTGCGTCCGACTGCACGAGCCATTTAGGGCGGTCGAAGTCTGGTTGCCAGCGTTTGTTGGAGCCACAAGCTGTAAATTCGAAAACCACGTGCTCGTCCGCTATGTAGTTCTTCAACTGCTTATTCCTAGTCGGCACATGACATGTAGACAATGTTGGCAGTCTCGACGGCAGTGCATTGGATGCCAAGTCGGGTCGGTGTCAACTGGGCGCGTGCAGCTCTAGCGCAGAACTGCCCTGGCCTCGCCGGCGTCGCAAAGACTCTTGCAACTCGATAACCCATGCAAACCCATGCTCAATTTCTGTTATCCAATCAACGAGCCGGACTGTAGAGACACCTTTTTGGCCAATCAGGTGCGCGACCTTCGCCACTGTATTCGGGTGTCTCAGACGCTAGCATCAACCAGAGGAGAGGCCCAGTGCGACGATGGCCTCGTCCGAGAGCAAGAGCTTCTGCGAGTTCGGCTACATCATGGCCGCGCCGGGCGGGCCGTGCAACGCGACGTATGCGTCCTTGAGCCAAGACAACTACGATCTCTTCCGCATCGCGTGCCTGGTCTATGGCGTCATCATGCTCGCCTTCTGCCTCGCAAAGCTCCGCGCGATCAGCCGCGTCGGCGGCAAGTACCAGGTGCTGCAGCGGCCCCGCGGCGCCATGGCCTCATCTTCGTCGTCGTCATCCACGTCTGCGACCAACCAGCGCACCGCGGGCTCGGGGATCCAAAGGGTCACGTACTGGCTGCTCGTGCTGGCGTCGGTCACGTTCGTCGCGCGCGCGATCGACCCATGGGGCTACATGGGCATCCTCTCGTACGTGGCCGTGACCATGATCTCGGACACATGCACTGCATGCATCTACAGCGTATTGTACGCCTTTGTCGTGCTACAATACGATCTCATACCGCATCTTGTAGGATCCTCGCCGTGTCGCTCTGGGCCCGCGTCGTTGTCACGCCCAAGAACCTCGCCCACTTCGAGTACCCGATCCAGGCATTCCGAATCCTTGGCTTCATGTTCACGTGGGTCATCTTTGTTGGCATCGTACCCGTCTCCGTCTATTGCATCAGCAACGACGTCTACCACTCGGTGCACACGCTCATTCAGTTCTCGATGGCCCCGTTTCTGCTCTGGATCATTGCGTCCATGGGGCTTGTCTTTGGCATTCAGATCCATCGGCGTCTCAAGGAGATTCGAAGAGCCCAGGAGGCCACGCTCGAAGTCGCTCGGCGCCGCGTCGCCGCCCGCCAAGCGCTTCACGACCTCACCAAGCCGCCCGTCGTCAAGAGCGAGAGCCACGACGACACGGCGAGTACGCTGCCGATGGACTTGGACACGAAGGAAGGCATTGACGCCGCGTCCAAGCTCCCGGGCAAGTCGTCGCGCATCTTGAAGATGCTCTGCTTCCTCCAAGCCGTTTCGATCGTCGTGATTGGGCTCCAGGTACTTGCAGCATCAATTTGATCCTATGAACATGTCCTGAGCGTGGCCGTAGATCTATCAGCTCGTGCTTTTTGTCCAAGACCATTGCGTCATGCAAAAGGAATGGGACTGCGCAACCGGCAACGAATGCAAGATGCAGCTGCAGTTCCCGTACTTTCACGCAGCGCAGGTAACCTTGCTTTCCTTAGGATCGAACCCACAACGGGTGGTGGATAGATGGCTGGCATCATCGTCATTTTCTGGGCGTTTCGCAAGACGCGCCAGGAGACGCCGCCCCAACCGATGCTGTCGCCCGACTCGGTGCTCTTGGATATTGAGAACGGCGACCTCCAAACCCGCCACGTCCGGCACATGACCATCTAGCAGCTACACGTTATTTAAACCATCGATCGACTAAGTGTTATGAGCGTCGTCGTCCTGTTTTGTGTTTGCACGGGTAAAAGACCCTCAGTGCGGCTTCGTCGAAACTCAAATTTTCGATTTTTGAGGTTGCACTTGAGATTGCACTTGCCTTTGCCGTCAACACGACGCTGCTTGACGCTCGGTCCGCCTCTTGCGAGCTATATTCCTACACCTTCCTGCATGCGTACTTACCACTAGTACGCGGCGCGCGTTGCCGCGGCTTTGGCAAGCGCGCAATATGATCCTGCTGGCCGCTGGTGATTTCGCCGCGTGTGATTGGTCAAAAATCGGGCCTGTTGTTGTGTGGAGCAGACGCCACTTCAAAACGTATTGACGAGATGACGCTGATCGGCGCGGTCTTCGGCGCGGCCATGGGCCTCAACACCAAGCTGCTCTCGAACGCGCTGCAGAAGGTCCCCTACATGCGCCGTACGTCTATATCGAAGAAGCTAGAGGCTCATCCTTTGTCTAGACCCGTGGGAACACGTCGCCTTCATCGGCATCGGCGCCTACGTCGGCCACATTGTCGCCGACAACTACGAGACACAGGTCAACGACGTCGCGGCCCTCCGCACGATGCTCGGCAAGCCCGAAGAACGTCAATAAACAGCCTCGCACATGCTGCTTCTTGGATGTACAGATTTATGCTTTGGTCGCCTATCTCGTCGTGGCCAGCGCCCGCATGCAGTGGGCCATGCTAGCAACAATGGCGCCACAGCGGGCCCATCACGCCATCTGCCGACGAGACTGGCACATGCTCGAGCCCTTGTGGGCCTGGCATACGGCGCATCGAGGTGGACGATCAGGCGAGATACAGGTCTACGCAGTTGGGCATCAACACCGGTGCGAGCTGTCAGCGACATCCAGGTAAGCTGCCCATCATAGCATACTGGCGCCGTCGTGACGACCTCCGTCACCGTCAAGGCAGCCTGGTCAGAGGACCTGCGTCGATGCCAAGGATCCTATCTGATCGATTGCCCCATTTAGTATCAACACTAGGCTTGATATCTATATACATTAGATTAATGAGGGGTCGTCTATTAGCATCTACTGGCTCAAAGTGCGCTTCCGCTTCTTGTCCTTGGGCGCCTTGGCCGCCTTGGGGCCGCCGAGCAACTGGAGCATCTGCGCGACCATACCTTTCACGACAGGGCTGCCGGCATCGAGCGCCTTGAGCTCGTCGGCGAGCGCGAGCGCGTCCAGCGTCGTGTCCTTGAGGTCCATACGGGCCTTCAGAAGCGCTTGGCCACAGGCAGCGACGCCCTTGAGGCGCTTGCCCTTGACCTTGGTCATGGCCTCCAAGCACGCCTTCTGCAGCTTGGTGCTCCACGGCGAGAGGAGCTCGAGCGTCATGCCCTTGGTCTTGACGAGCGCGGTGACGTACCGCGCGACCTCGGCGCGGTTAAAGTCGTCGACCGCGCTGTCGTCGACGCAGAGGCCGGCGAGCGTCGGGAAGAGAAGCGTCGTCGCCTGCACGGGCGCCTTGGCGACAAGGTCGTCAAAGACCACGCGGGGCATCTTTTGGTGCTTCTTGGTCAAGAGCAGGGTCACGACCGGCGCCAAGAGCGCGCTGACGTCCGCCGTCTTGCCGTCCTTCGTGAGCTGGCGCACGACGTACACGACGAGGGTCGCGGCCACCGACGCCTGCTTCTTTTCGCACATGGTGGAGCCGAGCGTGGTCAGGATCGACTCAAGCGCCGCCTTGAGGCCTGCGCGATCGTTCGAGTGGCCTTCCTTGCGCTTTGTGAGCTTGGTAAGGACGCTGCCGAGGCGCTCGCTCCACACAATGAGATCCGTCGACGCCTTCGTCGACGTCCAGGCCGTAAAGAGCGGCGCGATGAGCATGGCCGAGTGCGGGCCCGTGCCGGCGGCGTAGGCGTGGAGGAGGTCGAGGACACGGACTTTGAAGTGGAGCGCGGCCATCTTGAGGCGCTTCGCCTGCTGCTTGGCCTTCTTCTTCTCGACCACGTTGTTGACGAGCGCCGAGAGCGCCGCGTCTTCGCGCTGGAGCTCCGAGAGCGCGGCTTCCTCCGAGATCTCTTCTTCCTCATCCTCGTCGTCGTTCTCGTCGTCGTCGTTGGCCGAGACCTCCATGTCCACCGGCTGCGTGAGCTGGGTCGGGTCAATCGGGGCACCTTCGTCGTCGTCGTCTTCGTCGTCGCCCATCGAAAGCATCGAGCTCTCCTCCGGCGCCGTGACCACATCCAGCATGCTCTGAAGCGACGTTGCGTCGAGCTGGTCCATGATGGAGCGGAAGACGTGGTTGACGATTTCGCGCATGACACTCGACTCTTGCGCGAGCATGCTGAGCATCATGTCCGTAAGGACCGTGAGCGGCTGCGGCACCTCGTCGTCGACCTCCTGCGTCTTCTTGCCCTTCTTGGCGGGCGACTTCTTCTTAGGCTTGGCGGCCGCGTTGAGCTCTTTCAAGCAGCGCTCGAGATCGTCGAGGACGGACGCGGCTTCGTCGCGCGACGACGCATCGAGCAGCTGGAGACCGACGCACACGCTGAGGAGCATGAAGCCCTTGAGCTTGAGCTGCTCCTTCTTGTCCGTGGCAGCCTTCAACTGCGTCGAGAGCGAAGCGATTTGCGCGTTTACAATCGTCTTCTTGGCCGCGTGTTCCTTGGTGAGCGGTTCGACAAGCGCGAGGTCCTTCTTGATGTCCATCTCGGACCACGTCGCCCAGAGGCGGAACGGCACGCTCTGCTCGAGCGTCGACGAGCCCTTCAAGGCGTGGCTGCCAAGGCCCATGAGCGCGTACACGCGCTTCCCGCAGGCCGCCACGACGTTCTCCGAGACAGCCGGGTCGACCGTCGTCGTCTTCTTGGCCTTCTTGGTGTGCGTGTAGAAGGCATGTTCGAGCAGGAACGAGAGCACGGACGACCAGACCTTGTCGTCGGCGGTGCTCGGCAGCGTCTGCGTGGCCGTGTACATCGTGTCGAGCGCCCACATGCGCGCGCCGGCGATGCGCTTGGCCTGGTACTCCTTGCGTTCCTTCTCTTCTTCCATGGCCATGACGGCCTCAAACTCGAACGTCTTGGCCGCCTTGGACTCGATTTCACTAGATATGGCATGTGTCAGAAAACCGGATGTTCCGGATAAAGCAGAAACGCAACATACGTGTCGGCTTCGTCGAGCGGCGACACAAGGCTCGTGAGCGGCTGCGCAAAGTGGTGCTGCAGGAAATGGTAAAACTCGAGCGGGTTCTTGGCCGCAAACGTGTGGAGGCTGGCGACCGCGGCTTCGTGGAGGTACGTCTTCTTCGAGACAGCGTTGTTGTAGAGGCACTTGACAAAACGGGGCGTCAGAATCGAGCGAAGCGTCGGGCCCGGGACCTTGGCGACGATGAGCTCAAAGAGCTTGAAGGCCGTGCCGCGGCGCTCGTGCGTCGAGGTCTCGCCAATGAGCATGCCATCAATGAGGACGGTCCATGCCTCCTGGAAACGCTCTTCGTCGAGCTTGGGGCTCGCAAAGAAGTGGTCGAGGAGCCGACGCCACGACGAATGCACGCGCGGGTAGCAGACCGTCGACGAGGCCTTCAGCGGCTCGACGAGGCGACCCATATGGTGGCGGTCGAGGATCGTCGCCGCGACAAACGAGGCGTGTGTCTTGAGCAGCTTGTGCGTGGCGAGGAACTCGTGGAGGCCAATGGCGAACGCGACTTGGTCGGCGTTGAAGGACGCGACTGGGCCTTCGAGCGCCGCGCTAAACAGCGGAAGGAGGGTCGTAAACGTCGTCGGCGTCATCGACACGACAAACGACAGCACCGCTTCCAAGCACGACTCGCGGAACCACTTCTTCCACTTGGCCATCGTGAGCAGTTCGGTGACGAGGGCCGTGACGAGGACTTCGTCATCGAGGCGCAGCGATTGCTGCAAGGCGAGGATGCCAAAGAGGCGGCCAAACATGTGCTCGCGCTGCTCCATGCCCTTCATCGAGCTCGAGATGTCCATGGTCGACTTGATCGTGGCAAAGACCTCGGCCAGATCCAGCGACGGGAACGCATGCAGCACCGCGGTGAGCGCGGTCGAGAAGCCTTGGCGCGCCGCGTCGCGCGACGAGGCCAAGCCGCGGATCAGGCGCTTCAGTGTGTAGTTGAGTTCGTCGGCGTCGTTGGCCGTGCGCAGGTGGCTCACGATGGCCTCGACGGCCGCAGTCCGCGTCGCCACATTGAGCTCGGCCAAGTCCCAGAAGACCTTGAGGAACGAGCTGCGGGTCTCGTCCGCGGCCGGCGTGGGCTGCTGCTTCTCCGGGGACGAAGTCATGCTTGGGATGATTCTTTCCTTGGACTATTGGTTGGCCACCCGCCGGTCCAATCGAAATTCGCACCAGTCATTTTTGGCCAATCCCTGCAAATCGCACGCAATGCCTGTCTGCGATTGGGCCGCAAGATCTCTCGATACTAGAACATGGCGAGGCTTGTAACGCGTACAGGCACGGAATTCCTAGGAATCGCATTGGCCATGATTTGCGGTCGACGCATGCGGTAGGAGGACGACGCAGTCGTCGGCTGGAAGACGACGCCACGAAGCTGGTCGGGCAGCGATCGGCTACTGCATGTCGAAGCGGCTCGTACCGGTACATGGCCACGACGACTGGTAAGCAGCTACGGTATATGGCGCCGGCGACGTGGCGAGAAGGTTGCACGAGGTGCGTCGCAGGCAACAATGGCAGCCGCACGCGGAAGCCGCACCGCCGATACATAAATGGCGCAGGCTATGATGTGGCATCCGCGGTTCTATAGTACCAAGTACCAAGTGCCATGATAGTAGCAGCCAAGCGGCTTGCAGTTGGCGAGGTGCGAGTGTGTAGCTTTTGCAGCAGCGTCTTCTCAGATGCAAGAAATGCAACGCGAGGCTGGACGTCGTGGGCCTTCGAGCCGTCGCGTGAGTGACGGTAGCTGCCACTAGCCCAGCGCTTGCACGTGAAAGCGTGTGTTCAGGCAAAAGATACCGCCCAGGTGGCTCTGAAAAGGCCCCCAAGCTTCCCGCGTTCCTCGCTGCAGGGGATGGGCTACCTATGTGCCAAACACCCTGCCCGCCAAGACCGACCCGTCGCGACTAGCGCCCTCCCACGCCTCGAGGCGTCGCGGCCACGGAACGACGAGAAGGATGACGACTGCGCTCAGTACGTGTGCTAGACAGGCAGGTCGCATAGCACGCGCCGCCGCTGGCGTGCGTGGGTGGGTGGCCGTAGAAGAGGCACTTGGCTTGAAGTTGTATTACACCAAGACAGATAGATTGCGTTTTTATAGATAGGATAGGGATGAAGCAAATTAAATAGGACCGACTTAAATGACACACTCGAGGGACCGGCCGGGGGTCTCGAGTACGACGTACGCGTTGTGGGTCATCTCGTCGTCGTCCTTCTCCGCCTTGGTCGACACGACAAGCGTCACCTTCTTGGTGGCTTGCGGGCGGAACTTGTTCCAGCCCATGATGGTCAGAAAGAGGAGACTGCCGATGCACATGAACGTGACGGTGAACGCCGCGTCTTCGGTGACCGCGAGCCAAATACCGCCGATAAGAAGACCGGCGGCCGAGAGACCGTCAAAGAGGTACGGCTTGGCGGGCGGGTTGCGGCCGCGGTACCGGACAAGCAGCCACGCGGTCGAGTTGGCAATCGCCATGATGACGGCGAGGAAGGCCACAAAAAAGCCGACGCTCCAATGCAGCGAGAAGGCGAGGCCGAGGCAGCTCACGGCGGCGGCGCTGGCTTGTGCGATGCGAAGGCCGAGCGGCACGCGTTCCGTGATGGGCATGCGGACGGGGCTGGCGTAGTTGACGTAAGTGGTCGAGGTGGCCATGCTGGTTGCGGGGCTTGAGGTAAATTGGGAAATGATGCACTTTTATCAAGTGCACGACCGAGCTTGTTGCCAACACTTCATAGCGATAAAAGATACCACCTTCGCTGCAAAGCACAGCCGAGCGAGGTTGAAGGTGCGACATGTGGTGGGCCAAACTAAAAAAAGCGCTCGAATTTTGGCGAGCTTATAGGTTTTTCACCCACGCCAGATGGGTTTTACCTACGGCAAACTGATCAGTGGCGCCACTCCCAGCTGGTTGGCGGGGTTGAACCCATGGGTTGAACCTACCTTGCCCCGCAGTTGCAACCGCGTCTAAACACTCGCTCGACCAGGTTCACAGGTTTCGTTTCAGAAGGCGCAGCCGTCGCGTGTGCTGTGAGTCCCCGTAAGCTTTCACGTCTCGCCCCCATCTTCCTTGTCAACGACTCGGCAATCTCGCCGCCCCCAAGCGCCGATCACCAACGGCCCGGCAACACGTTAAACGCCATGCGTTAAACGTCCTAAAACGCGGTGGTGCTTTTCTATGAAGGCATCTGAGTGTGTTGCTTTTCCTCGAATCTGGATCTGAGGCTTCGATCCGCCGCGTTGCACAGCGCGAAGTCGCACCCTGGCGACTGTGAGCTTGGCGACCGCAGCATGCCATCTTGGCGTCAACCTCCTATGAAATGCACGACCTACCCATGCGGTACGACCGGTACCAGTAACACCACACAACAGAAAGGCCTGCCTATCCATTGCCGACCTACGAAGATGACGCAGAGTCTCCCACGCGAATATAAACCGCTCCGTGTCGATTAACCCTCTGGGTTATATATTTCCTGGTCCCTGCAAGTGAATTGGCCGACAAATAACCTCATGTAATGCTGGTCGTTTCCTAGGGTCGGCGTCGCAGACCCTATCACAAGTGGACCTACGACACACTGCCGTCGGTGCTTCACTTCGCCACACTACAGTTATAGACGCGAAAACAATCGAACGTGGCGTCCAAGCAAGCAAATTCGGATAGCAAACATCTCAGTTGGAACCAGGCGGAACCAGGTGAGTCACCGGGAACGTCGTGGTCGCGCCTGGCGACGCACACCTGGCTTTAGCGGCCGAGAAAGATATACAAATATTCGGCACGACGACAGCACATATCACTTGGCGAATAATCGGTGGTTTGTTGGTGGGCTGCGACCTCCTTCATGTCTGTTTCAGTCGCATTCTTAGCGTATTCTTAGAGCCAATAATTCGTTATGGGCTAGTCGGTCGATGTTTTTTGCTCCATCATGCGCGCGAGAATCTTCTTCTTCCAGTCCAAGTACTCTTCGGCGCTTGGTGCGGGCGATGTTGGTGCCGGCGATAGAACTTTCTGTGCTGGCGCCGGGGCTTGGCCTATGCAACCTCGTCGGCTTCCAATCTCATGGATGCGATGTGTGTACCTGACGTGGCGGCCTTGGCGGAGGTTTGGAGCTGGATGAGCTTTTTGATTTGATCGAGTGACCGGGTCGCGCTGGCACCGGCGCTGGCTTGCGGCCCTGCATTCTCCTTTGGCTTGTTCGCACGCGCGTCGCCATCGTCGTCGCCATCGTCGTCGCCAGTATCGGCCAAGTCCTTGCGCTTGCGCTTGCGCCCTATGAATTCGCCGCATGCAACCTTCTTCTTCTTCGCGGCTACTTGTCGATGTACCAATTTTCAAGCTCGCCTCGGAACGCGTATAGCGTGAGAGCGAGAGGTCGCAGACGCGCTACAGCCACCGTCACTGGCCTGCGACATCAGTGCGATGGCGTGCTACCTCGATGGACGACACGACACTCGCAAACTCATTCGGGTGGCTAAAGGTCATTTGGATGAGCTGCGCCTTGTCCACGCGGTGCTAATACACAGAGGTAACATGAGCGCACGTCGCACATCGCAAATACATACGTTGGCTTTTTGCGCGCATACATAGAAGACAGCAATCGGAAAGAGCGGCCGGGAAAAGTCCACTTGCTGCTGGCTCGCTTTCGAGAGCTTCGAGACCATGCGGTGCTAAAAGTGGCTGGCACAACGTCATGACTCGGCGCACGGAAGTACCTTGTAGTCGTCGTGGACGGCCGCAACAAACTCGGTGAGCGCCGGGCAGCCAAATTTGACGCAGAGCGCGGCCGTCGTTACCGTCGCATTATGGTTGGCGTGGAGGCGCAAGAGGCTCGAAATCAGCCGCACGCTCTGCTTGTGCTTGGCGAGACTTCGACCGCCTGCCAGCGTAAAGAGCTTGTGGCTGTCGCACGGCTGCTGAAGCACATCGCATGCGAGCTCGAGGCAGGCGGCCGGCCGGTCGAGCAGCGACACCGACGCCTTGCCCTAGCGGGATCGCATGAGCGTAGCAGACGCAGAAGCTTCTCGTACACCCTGCATCTTGAGGTCGATCATGCGCATGTACTCCATGGCCTTTCCCGTCACCTCTGGCGAGAGTCCGCCATACTTGTCGGCCAAGGCGCGAAGATCCATGCCGTTTTGTGTGACTGGCACAGGCCATCGTCGGGTATCCGGACGAAACGCCTATATCCGGCAAACAAACTAAATAGTGTTATGTTGTAAACTCTGGGGCATTAACACGCTGTCACAATGAGATATTGGGGAATGTTGGGCTATGTTGGTCCTATTGGCCATTTGAGAGAGCTACCGACGCCAGTACAGCCCAAAAGACCGTGTTGGACAACGTTAAACCTGCACAGCAGCAAACAATGACAGTATTACAGGTATATCACTCCAAAAATTGGTGTGAAGAAAGGCGTACTGGCCGACACTATATCTGTGTGTTTCGGCCCAAGTCCTAATTTCGTGTGACTTCAAGAAGCCGACAGCACCTGCGTTTGAATGATGGCGGCGTCAGCTGCACGCTCCAGCTGCCGTGGTTTACATGGTGCTCCTTTGTAGCCACACATATCGTTGCTGGCCATAAATATGCACGCGGCCCGCAGGATCGCGGGTGTGGGTACAATTGGGCAATTCGGCGTTTGCCTGCTCCTAGAAATAGTGTGCGCGGATTGTGACTTGATATTTGTATGCATGTCGGATGACCTGATTAGGATTCATTGACTGCCGAACGAGGGAATTGCATTCTTCGTTTACCGCCATGTCGACGTCTGCTCTCAAGTCGATCGCGAGCCTCCGCTCGATCGGGAAGGCCACGAGCTTCAACGACCTCAAGTCGACGCTTACGGCGCCGGCGCTTCCAAAGGAGACCACGCGCATGATCCCGCAGGTCACGAACGGCGGCGGCGTCGGCGCCAACCTCTGCCTCTTCATCCTGGCGCTCGTCGCCGCGACGCCGTTCATCCTTGTGCCAGGTACGCTCCGCATGGTGCAGCTTGTTGCATGATATCTTATTTATCGTATTCGGCGCGTAGTGTTTGTGTGCTTGAAGCTCGATGGCACGGTCCACTGGTCGTGGGCGACGACCTTGATTCCGCTCTGGATCTGCAATGCGCTCGTGCTGCCGTACCTCTATGCCAAGAACATGAAGCCCATCAAGATCAACCTCAACACGAGCGAAGAGACGCCGCTTGTCGGCAAGGCGGGCGAGAAGACGATGGCCGAGGAAGCCATGGAGTCGGCCAACTGCTTTGTCCACACGTACACCCTTGGTCATTGTCGTCGCATCTCATATTCGCACGTACTATGTACTAGGACGCGCAACTTGGCGCTGCTGGCGTATCTGACGGCGCAGATCTTTGTCGTCCTGCGCCTCGACCACGTCGTCGAGTGGCACTGGCTCATTGTGCTCATCCCGTACTACGTCGCCAGCGTCCTCTCGTGCGAAGGCTTTGACTTGATCCAGTCGCTCCTCATTGCCGCCAAGATGGACGGGATGCTCGACTCGACGTGGCTCTTGACGCTCATGCCGTCGTGGGTCGGCCTCGCCATCTTCCTCGTCTTCCTTGTCCGTGCTTGTGTTCGCATCTGGCATCTCACGCACACCTGTCTTGTAGCCGCTCCAGACGTACTGGGCGTTCAAAGCGTCACCCGACGACGACGACGACGTTGAGCCCAAGTCGCGCGCCTTCCGCTTCTTCCTCGCGCTCGGTGTCTTTGTCGGCCTTGTGTTCCTCACGTCGCCGATCTTTATCGCGATCTACCGCCTCGACTACGCGGTGTTCTCGACGTTCTACATTGCGCTTCCGTTCTTTGTCCTGGTCGGCGGCGCCATCTTGGCCGTACGTTCCCTTGGTATAGTCCAACATGGGCATGTCGCTTATGTCGTGGATTAGGGTTTCGCGTCCGTGTTTCTCATGACGTCCGAGCCGACGACGAGCACCATTTACGTCCACGCAGTCGCCGACGACGAGTGCTAATCGTCCAACAACTCGTGTACGTTGAGTAATACCCAGAGAATCCACAGTTGTGTTTTGGTAAATGTCTGGAAACCTCGAGACGCGCCAAGAGAGAGATAGATATATGTAGTAGTGACCATTTAGCGTCGACGTCGAAGTGCGAGGAGTGGTACTGTATAATACGCAGCGTAATGAAGCATCGTCAACGAGCGCTTGTTGGTTCGTGCTGGTGCAGTGTAGCTGCACATACCGTCATAAAGCTAGTCGAGTGGGCAGTCTAGCCTTATTGGCAATAAGCCTTATTGGCAATAAGGCTAGACTGCCCACTCGACTAATGTACATCTGGGGTTCTGCGTACGAAACTCTCCAGAAAAGAATCTGGTGCCGGCAGAATCATCGAGTGTTGGCCCGCGAGGTTCAAATGACGGTCTCGGATTGGTCGAAAAATAGCCAATGGCATCGATCCCTGCTACAACCAGGCGGCAGAAGCAAAATTGAGCTGACGGCGCCGAGCTCGATGGCCGCCAACGACAACGCCGTCGCGCAGTCGATCATCGACCGCCTCATGCCCGCGATCCCGCGCTTCATCTTTGAGAGTCTACGCACCGACCCGATGCTGCGGCTTCTACTCTGCGGCTACGTCATATGCGTCGTGCTGATTCTCGCCCCCTTGGTTCTCGTCCCACGTACATCCTCGCCTGCTACTGCGTGGCCTCACGTCCATGTCGCTAGTGTGCATCTGCCTCAAGGTGGACGGCCTCATCGCCGCGCCGTGGCGAATCGCCTTGACGCCGCTCTGGGGCTTTGAAGCTCTCTGTATCGCCGGCGCCTTTGCGGGGCTGTTTGTCGAAGACTCGGACGCCCAAGCCGCCGACGTCAGCGCAGTCATAGAAGAGACAGACGCAATATATCTCGAGGAAGGCGCCAACAAGAGCCCAAAGACGTACGGCACCACCGACGCGACCGTCGATGCAGCTCCCAAGGCACTGGACGATGACGTCGCCGACGCACCACAACCAACGAGCACCCGTCCCAAGATGATGCTATCCACGTACGTACTACATACGTCCTGGTGTTGCGAGGGTCCGACGCTAGTATCGTTATAGGCGCGAATTCGTCGGCGGTACCTGCACCTGCATCGTGCATTTCCTTGTAGCCCTGCGCATGGACGGTGTCTTCGAGTGCGCATGGATCTGGTTGTTCCTCGCCTTTGTCGCCTCGGATGTGATCGGCGGCCCCGAGATCGGCGGTACGGGGCTCCTCGTCCAGTATTTGCTCATCTTTCTCAAGCTCGACAACACGCTCACGTGGAGCTGGGCCGTCATTTTGATTCCTACGTGGTTCGCCATCGGTGTCGTCGTTCTTCTACTTGTACGCTTGCGTTGTGCTCTGTGATACTCAGAGCTCTCGTAGCCATGCTTCGTGTACATTGCTGCCAAGGAATTTGACGTCGTCTCGCCGCCTGCGATTGCTGCATTTAGTCTTGCGGGCCTTGTGGCAGCCGGCGCGATCGTCGCCTCGCTGGTTCTCATCACGCTCAAGCTCCAAGGGGCTGACACGTACTCGGCGTTTGAGACGTGTCTGCCCTACTTTGCCTCGCTGATTTTGCTTATTGCCATCGTACCGATCTCACGAAGTACGCTTGGGCTAACGTCAGTACTAGGGCGCGTTGGCCATCTTTATGTTTTGGCCGATTCCACCTCCCCAAGTTGAGGAAGGCGAAGCGATTGCAGAAGACGAGACTGCAGCAAGTACCACGACCGACGCACTCGCTACTACGAGTTCAGAGACTGTGTTGTAGTCGACAAGTGCAGTAGAAATAATAACAGTGGTACAGAGCGACGATGACAAAAAGGTTTTAGTGGTGGCGCTTTTTCGTCAACCTTGAAACACACAAAAAATGTCTACTAAACTGAGCACTAAACTTCCTAGCTGATAATGCTACGATCAAGCGCGCTGACTGCACATCTGTCGAACATCCTTCGCCCAGCAGTCGGTTCCAACGTCGGTCGTTTGTTATTATGACAATATTTCCATACATTTTAGCTATAAAAATTACAAAACAATTTGGCATCCCTACAACTACGTCTTGTGCAGGTTGAGGAACGCGTCGAGGCGGCGTAGCATCTCTTTGAGCTCTGCGTTTTCTTTCTCGAGGGCGGATATGGTGGCCGCGTGCTTCTCAATGGCGAGAAGCCTATCGTGGATCGTCTCGAGGCTAGTGACGACGACGTCCGGCTGCTCGTTGTCTGTGTTGGCGTCGGAACGAGAAATTTCGTTCGTGGCCGCCGACGACGTCGTATCCGTGTCTCCCATTTGGGTGGGATCATCCTCGGGCGCCGGCAACGACTCGGCGATAGGAAGGACCAACTTTTGGAGCTTGATTGTCTTTTCACTTCGGAGAATGCACTCGGCAAAGCTCACGATCGCGTCGAGTTGCGCAGTCTCCATGTCGGTGGCCATCGTCGCGTTCATCATCGCAATGAGCACGTTGAGGAGGAGCACAATGACGAGCGTCGCGTGCGTCAACAGCAGCGTGTAGCCGAGCACGATCGGCCCGGGCGACGGCAGCTTCTCAAACGGGTCTGCGTCAATTTGGCCGACGAGGACAAGAAAGGCCGTGACAAAGCTGTGGCTCATCGTGTTGTACGCGGCTTCGTTCCGGCCTTGAAAAAGAAGGTAGTAGGCAATCGTATAGGCGCCCAAAAACGGAACGTAGAAGGCCATGAACTTGAGGACGTCGTCCAGCATGTGCTTCATCATCGGGATCAAGTAGCCGGCGGTCTCGTGGACCTCGAGGTACTGGATGCTCAGCGCCCACGTTGCAAACGTGAGCGTAATGCTCACGTAGAGCTCGGCGTCGCCCGAGGACGGCGCCAGCACTTCGCAGAATCCAAAGATAAAGATGGCCACAAACAGTGGCAGTTGGAGCTTGTTGAACGTCGATTCGAAGTAGTGGGACGCAGGCTTGTCGACAAAGCTCTTGAAATAGTCGACGAGCGCTTCGAGCGCGACGCAGAACCCGCCGTTCTTGGTCGCGTTCTCGTTGACTTCGCCGTAGAGCTCCAAGACCTCAAACCAGATAAAGTACGACGCGACGGTCGAGAGGAGGAGATTGTTGATGCGCACAAACCAGATCCAGTCCGTGTGCGACGCAATGAGCTCCGAGACGAACCAGAGAGCGACGTCGACGATGGCAATGACACCGAACGTCGCGAGGCCCCACTGCTTGCGATTGGTATCGGGTGTGAGGAGGAAAGTGGCGCCAAATCCAAGGCCGAGCGCGACGCTGCCGTGAAGACAGAGTAAGAGCTGCCCATGAAACTCGGGGGTCGGACCGTTGTCGAGGTCCATCGACACGGAGAGCGTGAGCGTGAGCAGCAACAGCAGGTACAAGAGGCACTGCTGAATGTACATTTTGTTGCCGAAATGCTGTGTGGAACGTCATGAATTTGGAAAATATTCGAAATAAATAAGGGTACCTTCCACTTCAGATGCAGCATGAGCGCCATCGCATCGTGCTCGAGAAGCCCCTTCATCTCGGGCTCGCGAAGGAGCTTGAAGAGGATCGACTTGCGCAGCTCTCCAGCCTCGTTGCCATACAATTCGCAAATCTACGCAGCGACGCACATAAGACACAAACGGCGATGACGGATCACGTACTGAATCGGAGTAGAGCACGACGGACTCCGCTTCGCCACGCTTCTTCTTCTCCTGCGTCGTCGCCTTCTGGTCCGGGAGCTTGCACTTGTCGAGCTCGTCCCACGCGCGTTGGAAATCGTTGGCCTCGATGTACCCAAGTAACGTTTTGATGGCGAACGCCTTGGCCGTCGCGGCGCCCGCCGACGTCTGCTTGCGTTGCTCGCCCGACTTGGTGGCTGGGCGACTGGTCCTCTCGTACTTCATTGTCGCCGGCTTGGCGGTCGTCGGCGCTGGTTTGGCGGTCGAGGGGCGCCGCATTCTGCCTTCCTCCAGTCTTTGTACGTGGCTGGCAATGGTGGCGACGATTGAGAAATGAGGAAATCCGGTGGAGGATCGTCCTTGCACCCAAATATCACTTGGCACAATCGCATTCAATCAAGTTTGAAAATACGCGTCGCGGATTGGTCCATGCTACTGGGTGTACTGAGAAATGATTGGCCAAAAGTAATGCGTGTCAAGTGGCCACTTGCCCCACGGCAATCTTTTAAAAACGATTGGGTTTACACTGGATATTTGTATGCATGTAGCAAATTTCGAATAAAAATACAGAATGGCAACCGCGCTGCCACGTCATTTCCAGCGTGGAGCGCAGCTGAGTCTGAACTTGACCGAATTTGTCAACTTGCATGGGGTTGCCATTTCGAACTCACTTTGCTTTTTCGATTGTCGACAACAGCCATGCAAGCAGCGCGCCTCAACCACCAGCACCGAGACGTCCGTCGCGCCCCCTTTGCCATTGGCGCATTGCGCCGCTACATCGCCAACAACCGGGTGCGCAACGCCGCGATCGAGCTCAACAAAGTCATCGACACTCCAAACAACGGCTTCCACGACGCCTTGGTACGCCAGCATTGACTTGACCACGGCATATGCTCATGCTTCATCGTAGATTCGTGAAATCTACGGCAACGGAGGCCAACTGCGCCACTCGATCCTGTTTATGATCCTGCGCCACCCATTGACCAAGGAGCTGCTCAACCACCCGGTCATGCGCGAAGTTGAGAACATCAAGTGGCAGGTACGTCCTTTCGTTTGTCCGACGCGCAGAGATGCACAATGTCTTGTAGAACTTTGCGTGCTGCATGTACATGCAGCAACTCATGCTCTACCTTTTGCTGCTGACGACGCTGACGCTTTCCGTGACGATGGACCTCGGCGACGGCGAGTCGCCCATCTTCCACACACAGCTGCTCGTTTGGCTCAACGTCGGCGTCGCCCTTGTGCTTGGGCTTGTCGCGACCAACTTTTTCCACTACGCGAACCGCAAGCTCTGGGCCGTCAAGACCATCGGCGTCAACGGTCTTGTGCTCATTGCGCTCAATTTGTGCGCTGATTCGATCGCTGGCCATGTCAACTGGACGTGGTTCGTGCGCTGCAACAACGTCGTGCTGACGCCCACGGCGCTCTTCTTCATCCGCTTCGAGATCCTCGAGCTCTTCGGCGAAGTCAACGTCGACGCGAACCCGAGCTTTGTGCAGCAGCTCGAGGTCGCGGTCGAGGCCATCTGCGACTTCTTTCTCAACTTTGTCGGGCGGGCGAGATCGCACTACTTCGAGTCGTTCTTCAACAAGGTCCAGCTCCCGACCTTCGTCGCGATCCTTGTCTTTGTCATCACCGAGACCTTTTACCCCTCCAGCGACGACGTCCGCTTGTACTTTGGCATCATCATCACCTTCGCCTCGTGGGCGCTCGGGATCCAGTACCTCGAGATCCACGGCACGGCTGGGTACCTCATCTCGCTCATGACGTTCATGCTCAAGGACGTCGTCAAGTTCATGGCCTTCTACCTCCCGTTCCAGTGCGCGTATGCGATTTCTTACTACCTCTTGTTTGAAGGCCGCGGCGTCGACGCCTACGCAACCATCGCCCACAGCTTTGTGACCACGTTCCTCGTCATGCTCGGCCAAATCGAACTCGAACCGTTCGAGAACCTCCCGGCGCCGGGCCCGTATGTACTGGGCTACACGCTCCTCCTGACGCACGCGACGCTTGTGATTGTCATGCTCCTCAACGTCCTCATTGCGATGCTCAACAAGTCGATGGAAGAAATCATGGAGAAGGCCAAGCTCGAGGCGCGTGTAAGCTTCGCCGAGTGCATCCTCCGCAGTGAGAAGACCATTGGTCTCCGCCCGATGCCGGTGGTGCCCGTGGACGAAGTCATGCCGCTTGTCAACAACCATATGCTGCTCGAGATGGAGGCCGCCGCTGACGACGACGACATGTCGGACGACGAGCCCGAGATCGACGACGAGACCCAAATCGCCGAGCTGCGCGCCATCGTCCTTGACGAACGTGCCCGCAACGACCGCCTCGAAGCCATGCTCCGCAGTCTCACGCAGCACTTTGATATCGTCGTGCAGTAAACATTGTTAATCCCATATCTTTTCCCTTTAAAATTGTACATTGCGAGGGAACATCCCGGTTGAGGAAAGGACAAAACAGTCTTATTGGTCATTTTCCAAACGGCCTCCGCCCCTTTTACGCACCTTTACGTACTTTTCCGTACCTTTACGCATTTTTACGTACCTTTACGCCCCTTTTCGCCCCTTTTACGCACCTTTACGTACCTTTACGTACCTTTTACGTACCTTTACGTACCTTTTACGCCCCTTTTACGCCCCTTTTACGTACCTTTTACGTGCAGCAATTGAAGTAAAAGGTATGACGTGCCACGTCGGAATGTGGAACAAATTGTAGTCTCTTGTCCTGGGCATGCTGACAAATACTCCAACATTAGGTTTCCATACAGCGCCGATTGGTCGTGAAGCGGATATCTAAAGCTCCGTCGTTCATGGCGCCTCATAAAGTAGCGCAGGTAGTACGACGACGACTCAAATGTAGTGCATAGAGGCAGAAGTTACGACGATCCCACGACGTTGGTGAGCAGTTGGTCGCAGACGCCGTCTAACGTGAGCGTTTTGGCATGAATTCGCGCCGTGAGGGTGTCTTCCGTCGCTCGCATCGCGTCCAGTGCGCGAAGCAAGCGCTGCATGTGGTGGTCCATTTCCTCTTCAAAGCTTGTCGCGAGCGACGGCTCACTCCGCGCAAATTGGTGCACTTTGGCCATGTACCTACGCACACGCGTTAGGACGCTCGCGCGAAGAAACCGTGTACGCGTAGAGGGTGAACGCGAGCGCCGTCGTGTCCTGGCCGGCGCGACGCTTGCGCGCGAGTCGAAACTGCGTCTGGATGAGCCCTGCGGCCGCGTGCCGGCGCGCCTTCTCCCAGCGCGTCTGGTCAATGATGTACTTGACGCGCGACTCATTCTCGGTGAGCGCGAGCGCCGCAAAGAAGATCGACTGCACGAGCGAGAGAATGAGGAGGCCGCCGAGGATGCCGCTGAACGCCATGAAGAACCGGCCGCAGTGCGTCGCAGGCACATAGTCCCCGTACCCGACCGACGTCTACGCGGCGCGGTCAGATGTAGCGTTGTGAAGTACGTACAATGGTGGCGATCGTGAGCCACACGGACGTCCAGTAGTTCATAAAGTAGGGCTGCGCCGGCCTAAGGCAAATGCAAAAGATGACGCGTGTGCAAGGTGGAAGTGGGGACCGATCAACGTACACTTCCAAGATGCGGAGAATCGCGGCCGTAAGGAACGTCACAAAGAAGAGCAGCGGCAACTACACGTCGATGTACTACGCGACCGTAAATCGACTAGGAAGAGTACCACAAGGCGCAGCGGCTTGGTGTTAAAGATGGCCTTAAAATGGAAGAACGGATCCATGGTGTTGACGTTCTTGAGCGTGCCTACATGGCACATGTGAGGACTTTGATAGAGGTGCTCGTATGCAAAAGGAGGCACCGATGAACGAAGCCCACTGCGAGTAGAGCGGCGACGAGCTGCGCATGTACCGGCCAAAGAGGTACAAGCGAAGCACCATGAGCACGCCTACGACAGCAGGATGCGACGGATGCTCGGAATCGCAAGCCTTGTGCGTACCAAAGGTGTCGTACGTGTACGTGTAGTCGAGGTAGCAGCCATCGTCGACGACGGTGACGTGGAGGTTCTTGGGGTGCGCACACGTGTCCAAGCCCGTCGTCGAGTTAGCGTTGAGCGTGTAGCGAAACTGCATCATGGGCACGAGGCCGTGGATACCAGGCGGGACGTGAAACCCGCAGATGAGAAGCTCAAGAAGGAGCACGCGCCAGTACTCGCGCAGCATCGACGAGCGCGGCGGCAAGATGTTTTGCATCTTGTAGATGCTCGTGTGCGACTGATAGCGCTTGACGATCAAGAGAAGCAGCACAAAGGTCGTCACGGACGTGGCCACCTTGATCCGCTCGGCCGCCGGGGTCATGTCGACTTGGCGGCCCATGAGCACTTCGTTCGTCGCGAGCATGAGCACAATGCCCACCATCGCGATGGCAAAGCTCCAGATCTCGTACAGCTGCCGATTGCGGTACTCCTACACCCAATATGTAAGCTCGGATCCGGCTCGCACCATGGCGATGGTACCCGCTTGAGGAGATGGATCGTCTCGAGGTGCTTGATCGTGTCGTTCTGCTGGAAGAGGTTGAGGACGGCGGGAGCCTTGAGCTGCTCCATGTACGTCGACGACTTGGTCGGCGACGAGGGCTGGCGACCCATCGGCGACGGCCGACTGTCCACGGCGGCTGCCATCGTGGTCGGTTGTGAGACCGTTTTTGCTCCGCCTGGCATGTTATCCGGAGAGTCGCCGTATCCAGCAAGCGCAACACTAAACAAACGCAACTTGGCATTTCCCGCCATGGCGGACCGTGACGGCAACGCTCCGAGCGGCCGACTCCGCACCTACAACCACGGACCTACAACTGTACTGCCTGGTAGTTTGCGTGCTCCACACCAGCGGAATGAGGTGTCCTTTTGCCCCATCATCTGCGTCTCTACCAAAGTGGGCTACAAGCTGTGCTCTACGTGGCGAGCCTTACGAGTGTGCTTGGCAGGCGAGTCGCCATACCTCGTCGCGTTACTACTGGGCACAGAAGCCTTGCTGGCCGTAGAATATGCTGCTTGCACGGCGCAAGCGCTCACATATTCGCGTTGATGGCCGAGTATTGAGCGGCCGCCAATGTCCTCTATAGTCTAGAAACACGCCACATTTCCATTTTGCCATGGACGACGGACTCAGCCAGTACAAGAACGCGCTCGTGGCCTATTTTGAGCTGTACCCGGGCCCCGAGGTCGACGTGCAGCTTCTGCTCAGTCGCTGCCCGCAGTTCGCGACGCTCCTCGTGCAGAACCCGACGCTGTGCTCGCCCGTGCTCCAGGCCGCGTACGGCCAACCGGCGCCGCTCCAGCTCATCCACGTACCTCCGTGCTTAAAGAAGCGCGTGAGCGCGCTCCGGAGCAAGGAACTTGTGGGCCTCATGGGCATCGAGGGCACCGTCGTGCGCATTGGCCACGTGCGCATGCTCGAGAAGGTCCGGCAGTACGAGTGCGCCAAGTGCCACACGACGTGGGAAGTCTACTCCAAGCCCGAAGAGCAAAACAAAATGACGCTGCCAGTACGCTGTCGACTTAGCGCTTCCTCCCCTCATGCGCGCTAGAGAGCGTGCGTGGCCCGGGGCCAGTGCAAGTCGACCAACATCCAAGAGCTCAAGAGCAACAAGGTCTGCTGCGACTACCAGGTACGACGACGATATCATCCAGCAATTTTTATAGTTGATGCCAATAGCACATTAAGCTCCAAGAGCAAGTCTCCAAGCTAGGCATGGGGTCGATCCCGCGCTCCATCATGGTCATCCTTGAAGGTAGAATACGATATTCTCTAAGCCTCAACCAAGCCTCTTAGGTCCGCTCGTCGACAGCGTCAAGGCAGGCGACGACGTTGTCGTTGTCGGGACGCTCCTCAAATGCTGGAAACCGTGCATCAAAGACGTGCGCTGCGAGCTGGTGGGTTCGATTCCGCCGAGTTCAAGTCCGTCACTGGCCATTTGACAGGAAACGATGATCCAAGCCAGCAGCATTCGACTGAAGAGTGCGAGTGGCACGACGCGCGCGCTCGTGACCGACGACGTCCGGCGCGAATTCGACCTTTTTTGGCAAACGCACGCCGCCAACCCGCTTTTGGGCCGCAACTTGATTCTCGCGAGTATTTGTCCCAAAGTCTACGGCATGTTCATTGTACGTAGGGATATATCGTGCGGTATGGAGTATCATTACTTTTGTATCAACTAGGTCAAGCTCGCGGTCGCGCTCACCGTCATTGGCGGCTGCTCGTACATGGACGACACGGGCATGAAGACGCGGGGCGACTCGCACATGCTTCTCATTGGCGATCCTGGCACAGGTAGAGAGACGTCTCTGAGTGAAGAAAGCACGTGACATCAAAGACCAGGCAAGTCGCAGTTTTTGCGCTTCACGGCCGAGCTCAGTCCTCGCTCGGTGCTGACGACGGGCATCGGCACCACGAGGTATGCGCAGTGGCACGATGTCATACCTCACGCAACTCTTAGCGCCGGGCTCACGTGCACGGCCGTCAAGGACGGCGGCGAGTGGATGCTCGAGGCTGGCGCGCTCGTCTTGGCCGACCGGTACTTCACTTTTGTTTGCCGTTTTGGGAAGCGACATTTGTGGGGTTAGGGGTGTTTGCTGCATTGATGAGTTTAGCAGCATCACGACCCATGACCGCGCGTCGATCCACGAAGCCATGGAGCAGCAGACGCTGAGCGTTGCGAAAGCCGGTCTTGTGTGTACGCTCAACACGCGCACGACAGTCTTTGCTGTGACCAACCCCAAGGGCCGGTATTATATTGTACAAACTGTCAGTGCAACTATAATGAACTGTAGGTACGACCCGAACGCTGATGTGTCGGTCAACACGGCAATCGCGAGTCCCTTGTTAAGGTGCGTCGCTCTATATTGTCCTCGCAACGGAAGACAATATTGTCTGTAGCCGATTTGACATCATTTTGGTCCTTCTGGACACGGTGCAGCGCGACGTACGATGGTTGCATGGGACCGCACTCTACTGGAATTCGTAGTGGGATCGCCGCGTCTCGTCCTTCATTCTGAACCAAGCGTCGACCGAAGAGGCAACGCCCGACGACGAAGAGACCTTGGCCATGAGTAGCTCGAATATCATGCTTGCGACATCACCCACGCGCCATGTAGAAGAGGAGGCCGACGAAGAAGAAGCGATGCGTCCGCGCAAGCACCTCTGGTCTGTGGCCAAAATCCAAGCCTACATTTGCTACGTCAAAGTACGTTGTCCAAATTTGCTTTGAAAAAGATGAGATCTCATAGGAAATATATCAACCGCGGCTCACGCGCGAGTCCATGACGGTGCTACAGCGCTACTACCAGATGCAGGTGACAGTCGTTGCATTGCACCACGACAGACTCATCACGCGACTGCGTAGCGATCGTCCGACATGCGCAACGCCGCCCGCACGACGATTCGGCTCTTGGAAAGTTTGACCCGCATTTCCCAGGTCGCTTCCTTTTGCAAGGATCATTTGGGCTCATTGACACCTCCTAGGCTCACGCCAAGCTCATGTGCCGTGATGAAGTGACCGTGCAGGTTGACGTTTGTGTGGGACATACATCGATGATTGGTGGGGTAGGACGCCATCATGGCCGTGTACGTCACGGAAACCTCCAAGTCGGCCGACTCGATGTTTGGGTACGAGTCGGTACTCCACAAGAACTTTGCGCTGGACCCGCTCGAAGAGTACTACCAGATCGAGCACTGCATCTTGAGCCACTTGACGCTGCTCGAGTTTTGCTCCAAGACGCCGCCTCCCGAGTCGCACGACTTTGGTGGCGATGGCGACCTGTACGAGGGCGACGATGCGTACGAAGACGAAGAAGAAGTCAAGGTGCCCGACGTGCCCGTGGTCAAAAGTCCGATTCCCAGACCGCCAGGCACGGGGCGGAGCCCAAGCCAAGCAGCGAATCGGTGGAGCCAAGCGATCGAAGCGCGACGAAGCCAGGTCCAATCATCCCCGTGGATCGAATTGGTTTTATCTCTTCTCGTAGAAGCGACGACGCGACAGTAGCTCCTAGGCTATGATATTTTAGAGAACAACAACGTGATCTATCGTGTGCAAGCTGATGGGGCTAGGTGTTTCAGTGAATTATTCGTTCGGCCAGGTCGACACTTTTCCGCGTAACGCTACCGAATCTGAGCGGACAACTTTGTACAACTCACTCTCTTAGAGATTTGAGTGACGCACCGCTTGGCTTAAGGCATAACCTGGACTATGGTGCGTCAACAACGTTTTTGCAATCCTGCCGAGCCATGACGCCCTACTATTGGTCACATTTATCTTATTTTTAACCAATCCGATGTCGTGAAATGCCTGGGTCGCCGTTGAGCCCGATGTTGAGCGGCTGAATCGCCCCGATCGCGGTCGAAAATGAAATCGCTTCAACTCGGCTCACAGATAGAAGACGTGTTGTAGAGTACAAGAAGCGATGTCTCGTCGGCGGGTGAGGTCTATAACAAGAGCAATCGACCACCTTGTTAATTGTGGCGCATGCCAAACATAGTCACATATAAGAGCGGGCCATGTCACGTAGTTGCAAAAGCAGCAGCCAGTGCTTTCAAATCGATACGAATAGGGCTGTAGTAATGAACATGCCGTCCATGCAAAAGCCACCGTGTCTTGTACTGTGATCTCGCGTATAATTTCCAAGTATACTTGCCGTCATATCGGATCGGCCGGGTACGACTGCCTGCAGGAAATGCGATACCGCGGTTGCTCCTCCGCCACTGACCAGTACCTCTCAAATACGTGGTGCGCTTTGGTAGTCTAGAGACTCTATGGACGTGGCCGAGTAAGTATCAACCTTTCAGCCAGCAGTGCGGTGTCGAAATCGTTTGGCGCCATGTTGGCTTGGATCGAAATACCGGGCGTGGATTGGCTGGTCTAAATATAGAACCTTCAACGCCCAATCACCATCGAGCCCATGAGTCTGCTGAACCATTGCGGTCATTCTATCTTCGTCATGTCTGCTGCGTCCCGCGGATCGCGCGTGCACCACATTCGCCGGACGCCGAGCCCCTTCTTCACGACGTCATCTGGCATCGTCGGCATCAATTTGCACGAGCCAACCGAGTTTGTTGCACCCAAGCTCGACGACATGCCAGTAGCAACGGAAAACAACCAGTCGGAGGAAGCCAAGCTCGTCAAGTTCATGTACCAGACATCGTCGAGTGCGTTTGGCGACGGCGTCGAGCGCAGAGACAACCCCATGAGCCAGCGCATGGACAAACTGACCTTGAAGAAAGGTCTACCACCCCAAAGATCGCAGAATCGACCTCACGAAATGCCTAGAAATCGAGCAAAGCGGGCTTGTCAAAATCAAAAAGGTCGACGTGATCTCACCCAGCGCCGTCTTGGCCCAAGCCCGCGCCGAGTTGTTTCCGGAGGAGCTCAGTGCCAATGCCATGGACCTCCGACCGATTGCGGCCGCGCGCAACGAGCACTGCATGTACACGACGAGGTACGACGAGGACTTGGGACCCACGAGGCTCATATGGATGACAGCAACCGCGTCATTGGCGAAGAGAAAGGCGCGATCCAAGTCAACAACGAGCGCATCGTCAAGCCCGGGACGTTTACGACGTCGTTCAACGGCTTTCGGTACCGCGATTACGGCCTGAACACCGCCGTGACCAAATCAAAGATTTGCGACCAACTGGACTATTCCTAAAGAGGAAATATGTGTTTTTTTATGCTTCAGCCCGAATCGTCTGACGTTGAACCGAGCCTGTCGGGCCACCTCGACGACGGACGACGCGCGAGGTCGTCAGGCCTCTTGATTGCCCCGTGTTGCTCGTTCAAGCGCCCAGGGTCCGTGGCCGACGAGCCACTCGTATTATGGTACAGTTTAGCTATCCTTGCCGGCGCATCGTTTCTCCGAGCTCTATTCGTCAACGTCACTCCGAGCTTGTCAGTGGATCAACATCACAGACCCCAGGTATTCGCATGTGACTTCTGCCTTCGTTGCACCGCGAACAGCCCTAAAGCATCTCCTCCATCCCAATCTTGGAGCTCAAGGCTTGCGGCTAAGAGCTGAGGCAAGTCCAGCAAGCCTCTCTGGAAAACCTCGGTGGTTTCGATTGCGTGCGCACACTTCAACCGCAGACATTGTCCCACTGAATAGTCGCGATCGTGGATACCGGTATGTTCATCTATCCATTCCTCCGCAGCAGGTATCTATCTACCTATCCACGCTATTTCGAGTGCCGATGCAAAGGTTCCGATGCGATGCGAAACCTGCGGCGGCGGTTGGCGCTCGAAATAGCTAACGTTTCGGAAAATCCCGTGAAAACGTGCGTAAAATACGGAAAAATGCGGGGCCATGCCGCATCGCCGCGCTGGATTCCATAGACCATCGACCGTGTCGCGGCATGACGTGTCGCACTCCTGCACTGGTGGCGCACAGCGGTCGCAGGTTCAAGAATGCACCGGAGTTCAGTTGCCACAACGGGTCAAATTCCGCGCTTCGCCTTTCCAGGTCGCTGATTGGCTGAAATCCATTCGTGGCTGGCCGGCACCGCCGCCGAAAGCACTTGCCTTCAGTATGCGGGCCATTTTTGTAACCGTAAACCGATGCGGCATCGGGCACCATCTGATTGGTGGCCGTCTGTTTCAAACCGTTTTACATGTTTAAAACACTCCGAAGGATCGCGCTGTTTTAAACGTGGGGCCGGCAGTCGAGCCCGCTACTTGTGAAAAGGTTCGGTCCCGCTCAAGTCAACCCGCATGTGGAGTCGCGCAGTCCATGGCCTCCGGCGCCACGCTGGCACGGCCTCGGCCGCGGCCGCCGGCGCCGGCGTCATGTTCGCCGCCATGAACATGGGCCCGACGCCCCTCATGGCGAACGAAGTCCCGCTCCGTGACACGACGCGTGGCATGCTCCGCGAAGTGCTCTCGAAGCTCAACCGCATCGAGAGCGCGGTCGCCAACCCCAAGCGCGATGGCCCCGGCGTCGACGTCGTCCTCGGTGCGCAGTGGGGCGATGAAGGCAAGGGCAAGCTCGTTGACATGCTCTCGCAAGAGTACGACGTGATTGCGCGTGTCGCCGGCGGTGCCAACGCCGGCCACACGATTGTCTGCAACGGCAAGAAGTACAAGTTCCATCTGGTGCCCAGCGGTGTCTTGAACGACAAGGCGGTCTGCGTCATTGGCAACGGCGTTGTCGTGCACCTCCCGGCGCTCCTCAAGGAGCTCGAGATGCTCAAGGACGCTGGCGTCGACTGCGAAGGTCGCGTCCTCATCTCGGATCGTGCGCACATGGTGCTCGACTTGCACCAGGAAATTGACGGCCTCATGGAGAACCGCCGTGGCCGCAACAAGATTGGCACGACCAAGAAGGGCATCGGTCCGGCGTACTCGAGCAAGATGCTCCGCAACGGCGTCCGCGTTGGCGACCTTCGCTACTTTGACGACTTTGCCGACAAGATGCGTGCGCAGTTTACCTTTTACAAGGAGAACTACCCGGACCTCGACTTGGACGTCGAAGCCGAGATTGAGCGCTACCGCGTCCTCAAGGAGCAGATCCTCCCGATCACGATCGACTCGGTCGAGTACCTCAACAAGGCATACGTCGCGGGCAAGAAGATCCTCGTCGAAGGCGCGAACGCGACGATGCTCGACATTGACTTTGGCACGTACCCGTACGTGACGTCGTCCAACCCGTCGATCGGCTCGATCTGCACGGGCGGCGGTATCTCGCCCAACCGCATCAACGGTATCATTGGTATTGTCAAGGCCTACTGCACGCGCGTCGGCGAGGGTCCGTTCCCGACCGAGCTCCACGACGACATTGGTGCGCACCTCGGGACCGTCGGCGCCGAGTTCGGCACGACGACCGGTCGTCCGCGCCGCTGCGGCTGGCTCGACATTCCCCAGATGAAGTACTCGAACCTCGTCAACGGCTTCACCGAGATCAACCTCACGAAGCTCGACGTGCTCACGGGCCTCAAGGAAGTCAAGATCGGCGTCGCCTACTGGCACAACGGCAAGAAGCTCTCGGGCATGCCGTCGAACCTCCAGCCGCTCGAAGAGTCGACGGTGCAGTACGAGACGCTCCCCGGCTGGTCCGAGGACATCTCCAAGTGCCGCACCTTTGAGGAGCTGCCTGTGAACGCGCAAAAGTACGTGCTTCGTGTCGAGGAGCTCCTCGGCACGCACATCAAGTGGATCGGCGTCGGCCAGGACCGCTTGGACGTCATTGAGCGCGCCCGCCCCCTCCCCAAGACGGTCTAAACACCTTTCAATGATGGTGCATGTGGTGACGATGAGGATGGACGAGAGCGCGATTCGCACAGCGCGCCGAAGACACTAGAGTGGCTTTCAAGTGCTGTTAAATCTATCTTATTATTGTTCCAACCATGTTGCTACATCACCTCGACACGCAGAGGCGTCATGACGCCGCTGACGCCAACGCTGTTCAACAACGAGGGTTAGGGTTTTTGCTAGGGTTGGGGTTTGGCTCCTCGAGCAAAACGCCCGATCGAGCCAGCAGTCAATGCCCCCTGCCCGCGGCCCGCACAAGAAGCCAAAGGCGAAGAAGGCAGATGCGCCAAGAGCCGCGGCGATCGTCTCGGAGAACGTGTCGGCGTCGGTGCTCGCGGCGCGCGATGCCGAAAAGTGCATCGAGTACCTTCACGGCGCGCTGCGAAATGGCGGCTTTTGGGAGCCGGCGCCGCCGCTTGCGGGGTTTCTCTCGCTGCCGTTGCCGAGCTTTGAGCTCGGGCATATCGAGAGCAACGCCGTGTGGTGCACCGTGCTCGTGCTCGTGCACTGCATGACGACGCTGCTCGAGTACCACGCCGATTGGCGCCCGCTGGCCGAGAAGGCGCGCACTTGGCTCTTCGCCCAGCGCTTCTTCACCGCAGGCACGACGCAGCTCGTCAAGCGGGCGTGCTCGCTCTTTCCAAACGACGTCGACTACAAGGCGATGCTGGCGACCATCTTTGCGCGCGCGGGCGACGGGTCGGCCGACCAAGTGCCCGTTCAGCGCGGCAACTGGGTCGAGCTCGTGCTCGAGACGCCGCCGTACACCACGTACTACTGGAACCAAGTGACGCGTGAGACGCGGTGGGAGCACCCGCTAGACCCGCATGTGTTGACGCCGGACGAGGTGGCAGCAGCGACGGCGGCCGCGGAGGCCAAGGCCGCCAAAGACGACCACCTCGCCGCAGTGTTGCCGCAGCGCATCCGCATCAATCAAACTGCGTACATGGCCCCGCGCCCGACGGTACTTACGAAAATCGAAAGGACGACCGTCACAAGCGCTTATGTAGGAGTGCGAATCGTGCGGAAAAGGAGTCGTCGCCACCGTGCTCTGCGTCGCTTGTGACGAGTACGAGTGCGACGACTGCTGCGACGTCATTCATATGAACGTGCGCAAGGCCCACCATATTCAAGAGAGCTTTCGTTTCGTGTCGTGCTATGGCCGGAATGGGCTGCCGTACGTGCGGCCCAGTGCACGGGCCAAAGCGCTTCCGCCGCCGGCGTCAACCTCGTGATGGAAGTCGACTCGGATAGAGCAGACAGGAGAGAAGGGACAGCAGAACGAACGGGTCGTGCGTACCTAAGAAGCAACATAATTGAAATGACCGCCTGCCTCCACCACGAAGCGGGGCTGCCGCCGCTCCAGGTCGCGACTGCCAAAGTGCACACCGACATGTCATACCAGTGCTATGTGCGTCTCCAGAAGGTCCTTCCCTGCCTGATTGCGCTCTTTATCGGTAGCATAAAGACTCTCTTGATGTTCTAGCTCATACCTTGGTGCTCTTAGTGCTGCTCGTGACGGCTGTCTTATACGGCGTCTTGACACCGGAGACTACGACCTCGCCGACGCCACTCCCGACGGTCTTTCTCTTGCCTGCGCGTAGCTACCCGCTGCTTCGCCAAACGTTCTACCCTTAGCTACCACGGAGCGACTCCGCGCTAAAATAAGAAGCTTGTATCCGCAAATTCTTCTAGCAACTTATCGGGAGGACTAGGACCGAGGCCAGTAGAGCATGACGAGGACGCCGGCAAAGGCGATGGACGCGCCGACCCAGTCGCCAACGTCGGGTTTGACGCCAGCGACAACCCAGCCCCAGAGAAGACTCAGTAGAATAAAGTAGCCTCCATAGACTGCGTAGAGCCGGCCAAAGTCGATTGTCTGCAACGTCTGGGCCCAGCCGTACGCCACGAGCGCGATGGACCCGAGGACGGCGTACGCAATGTACGTGGCGGACGCCTTCTCGCTCTGCTTGGCGTAGACCCACACGCCGTAGCCGCCACCGATCTCGAGCACGCCCGCGAGCAGGAACAGCAGCGTCTCCCTCAGCACCGGTTGCATTGTCCAACTTGGCGCGATCGAATATGATTTCGACTAACCTGCATGTTTCCATGTACTTTAGTCGACTTGACCTTTGTCCCAAAAACCCTTCCCAGATGTCCTGCGTTCTCAAACCTGGCACTCTCACTCCTTGGGACCCCACACGATATTGGAGCGCGCCAACGCATCAACCAAAATGCCAGTCAGTGGCCCTCCTACGCTAATAGGTTATTAGTCATTGCAGGCAGCCGCTTGTTTCGCCACTACGATACCGGTAACAAGGCCGTGTCGACCTCCGTCGACGGTGTCTCGCCGCCAGCATCTCTTCATCAGTCGTAGCAAATCTAGCTCATACCGATATACTGTACGCAGGGATGTATCCAGTGCACTGTGCTCGTACAAGTAAGCTTAGTTGAGCCAACCACACAACCAGCAATGCTTCGCACTCTCGTCGACCAGCGCTCGAATGGATGGGACAAATGGGGCAAACCCCGGTTTAGTCAAAATATCCGGATACCCAAGGGTGGTATCCGTATTTAACGGACTTAATCAGTGCCAAGCGTACTTAGGGTGGATTGCTTTTCGCGTCCAATCGGTGGCGGGGAACGCGCAGCCAGTCAAGTGGCTTTGGGCTTCAAATGCTTGGGTCATTATTGCTCTAGTAAACACCAAGTAAGAAGCATGTCGTCTGCTAAGATTGTCAAGCCCGCCGGCCAGGTCGCCGATGACTTCGAGAAGCAGGTCGCCCACGAACTCGCCGCCCTCGAGAACTCGTCGGCCGACATCAAGGCTGACTTGAAGGACCTCTACATCACGGCCGCCAAGCAGGTCGATGTTGTCGGCGGCCGCAAGGCCATCGTCATCTTCGTGCCGTTCCGCCTCCTCAAGAGCTTCAACAAGATCCAGGCGCGCCTCGTCCGCGAACTCGAGAAGAAGTTCTCGGGCCGCCACGTCGTCATCATTGCCCAGCGCACGATCCTCGGCAAGGGCCACTCGCGCAGCGCCCACACGTCGGCCCCCCGCGCCCGCTCGCGCACGCTCACGTCGGTCCAGGACGCCATCCTTGACGTACGTACCCATCGCCGATCTTGTCTATTCGATGGTGGCCTCTGGGGGTTCGCCTTCCCATGCCCAATACTGATGGTTGCACTCTTCCTATAGGACCTTGTCTACCCCACGGAGATCGTCGGCAAGCGCACGCGCTGCAAGCTCGACGGCACGAAGCTCCTCAAGGTCTTCCTCGACCCCAAGGACCAGGTCAACGTTGAGACCAAGCTCGACACGTTCGCCACGGTCTACAAGAAGTTGACCAACAAGGAAGTCGTCTTCGAGTTCCCCGTCCAGCAGGAGTAAGTTAATAGGCGTCGTACGGTGGCGCCACGCCGCTCGGGTGCTCTCGTAGCAGTCGAGCGACGCGGCCCACCGAATGATTCTTACTTAGTTTGAGCAAACACCACCAATATAACTCTTGTTATACTATGATACACGCTTGCCTTCGTCGGCAAAGGCTACATACGGCACCACCAGTCCTGGATACAAGCATGGCATGGTGCCCAGAGGTAGTCGATTGACAAAGCTCGCACTTGCATATCCACCACGCCTTGACATGCAACCAAACCAGCTCCGGATGACACCGCGTGAAATGGCATGGCTCGCGTGTTCCAGTCTTGGACCTGCAGAGCTCAAATGTTGGATATCCATGTACGAGGACGCAATCGCTTAGCTCATTAGTTGACCGCTATCGCCCTTCGTCGTCGACAAGCGAGTGGTACATGAGCGATATCTGGTCGACGCCATCTCGCCGGAGCGCGTCCATGATGTCGAGGAGCGGGACGCAGGTCGCGCGCGGGGCCATCGCGGCCATGCGGCGGCCGGGCCCGGCGATCTTGGTGAAGTCCGCCTTGAGCGTGCTGGAAGCGTTCGGGTGTCGTCGCATGAAGCGCGCCGATCGCGCGATTCCTCGGCGCATGTGAAACATGGTCGCGCAGCAAGATGGGATCTCTCCGCCACCAGGTTGGCCCACCTCTCCGGATACAGGATTCTTATCCGGGATCCTCGCCGAACTGGTTGCAGCAGCAATCGATTGACCCTCGGAGGCCGGCAACAAACTGGCAAATCGCAACATGTCTTACGTGCTTATGAGCGGAACGAGTCGTTGTTGGAGGCTTTCGACGAGAGCGGCGACGAGGTCGACTTGGAGAGCGTCGAGCGCGGGCCCGAGCCGCTACTGCTGCTGCTGGAGCCATGGGGCACTGCATACTCCTTCGCCGCCTGGACAATCTGGCGCGTGAGCTTGCGGTCTTCTTTGAGCTTGACGATTTTTTCCTCTTTTCGCGCTTCGTTCAAGGCGGCGTGGCGACGGAGCTGGACGCGACGCCGGATTTCGTCTTCTTCGCGTTGCTTGGCGAGCTCGGCTTTTTCCGCGAGCTTGAACTCTTGCTGAATGATCGAGAGCTTCGCCTTGTGCTTGTCCGGGTCGATGACGCGCCCTGTCTTGTCAATGAGGCCCACTTCGTGCAAGTGGCTCTGGAGCTTTTGGTTTTCGAAAAAGTGGCGCAAATTCTGGTCCGCGAGCGCATTGTACTCGGGGAGTTTCTGGTTGTGCGTGTTTGTATCGAAGCCCATTTCACGTCGCTTCATCTTGGACATGGGCGGGGTCTACGCAAAGCAGTATCCGCATCAGCCGCTTGAAGCTTCCTATCGTCGCTTACATTAGCAGTCGTGAACCAAAATGCACTTCAACGCCAAATGCGCGCTAAATTTAGGAGCGCGGGTCACTTCAACGTCGCACTTAGGGGAATCGATCGACTAAGGTCACGTCCGCATTGATAGCTTGCATGCAACACCCGTATCGCCCCTGCGTATGGACCGCACAAAGCTGTAGCCCATGGAAAAACGAGAGTGTACTTGGTGCTGTGGGCGACAAGCCAGTGGACGCTACACTGTTTAGGACGACGTGTGGGGCTGTGAGCCCTTGCACGTGGCAGGCGCGGGTGCCACTACCTCGCACTTAAACGAGCACGCATCTTAAAGAAGAGATACCACAAAGGATCGGCGCACTTAAGTGGTATATTGTAGTTTGTATGTAGTGGCCAGAGATATCCGGCGTCCGGATAGTTATACTGAAACCGAGAGAACATTATCCGGATGAAATCGTCACTTGCGAGAGAACCGGCAAAGCTCGATTCCCCTCGAAAGTACACAGCAAGACAGAATGGACGTGTTCGACGTTACCCCGACCCACGCCGCCTACGCGTACGTCGTCGCCATGGCCGAGGAAGAGCGATGGCTCATGGGCTCCATGATGATGTAGCGAGTTCCAGGCCGAGTACGAGCGCAAGATCCAAGAGACCGCGCTCGAGCACGCCAAGGTCGCGGAAGAGAACCGCGCCAAGGCCTTTGAGGTCATGGAGCAGTTCAAGGCCGAGCGCGAGCGCCTCCGTGAGGCCAAGATCCTCGCCAACCGCACGCAGGAGCAGGCTGCGGTCGAGAAGCTCGAGGCCGATATGGTGAGCCCCAACCCGTGGGAGCGCGTCGTGACGCTGGTCGAGCTCGAGTCGATCAAGGCCAAGCACGCGAAGCGCGCGGCCGCCGAGGCCCGCGCCCGTGGCGACAAGCCCGAGGAGAAGAAGCACATTGACTCGGAGGAAGTCGACGTGACGCGCATGAAGCAGATTTTCCTCCAGCTCAAGCAGGAGCCGCTCGACGCGACGCGTGCCTTCAACGCGGCGGCGTAAGATGACATATAGGCCAATACATGACTGTAGTTAGTATCTATTCCGATGTCTCCATCTTGGCGAGCACTTCCTTGGTGCTCTGCTTGAGGATCTTCTTGATGTCCTTTAGCACTTGATTGCCGTCCAACGACACTTCATCTTCAAAGACGTCCTGGAACCGGAAGAAGATGTCGTTCACGACGTCCTTGAAGAGCTCGCCGACGTTCGCTGACGACGACGACGGGCCTGACGACGTCAGCAGCTCTTGGGCTTCCCGGCGCAGCTCCTCGGCTTCCTCGAGGGCGGTCGCGGCCGCGTCTTCCTTGGCCGCGGCTGCCGCCAACCGTGCGTCGGTCGAGGCGCACGTCGCGCAGGCACCGTCCGGGAGGGGCCCGCCCGGCAAGTCGCGCAGTTGAGCCTCGAGCGCTTGAACCTACCGCCCGAGTTGCAACGTTATCCTTTCGATATACAGATGTAGTACCTGGTCGGTGAGTGCGCGCACTTCCTGCTCGCGCGCCGAGGCCGTGAATGTTTGGAGCTCCTCGAGTTCGGTGATGCGCTGCATGCGAAGGCTCTTCTCGGCTTCGAGGTTGGCGACTTCAGCAGCGTGCGCGCTGTTGGCGGTCTTGAGCCGGGCCACGTCGGTCTGCAGCGCCTCGTAGTGGTCGCGGAGCTCGTCGTACGCGGCTTGGAGGTCGTTGTTCACAGGCGGAGCCGACCACGTGGCCTATACTCGTCTGAGCGGCACATACGGTATGTCATCGTGACACCTTTTCAGCCTCAAAGGCCGCATAGAGACCGTCGATCTCTTGTTTGTGGGTCTCGGCGGCCTGCGCCAACGCGCGCTCGAGGCTGAGCTTTTGCGAGTGGACTTCCGACTCGTGGAGCGACGTCAAGTTGGCGGTTTGCTTCTTGAGGAGGCCAACTTCTTGCTCGAGCATCGAGCGCGCCATTGTCTCGTGCTTGAGCGCCGTCTCGGCGCGGATGCGCGCGTCCTTCTCAAAGGTCAGCTCTTGTTCGCGTGTCTCCGAGTCGGCTACAGAGTCCCCTTAGCATATCTCGTCATATGGGCAACGTACACGTCGACTGCTGCTTTTGGTAAAACGCGTAGCGCAACTGCTGTACTTCTTGGTGCAACCGGCTGGCTTGCGTGAGTGCCGCATCCCGCGCCGCGGCCAAGTTGGCGGCCTCGGCTTGCTGCAGCGAAAGCTGGTCCTTCCACTGCGCCTTCTCCGCGTGGAGCTTGGCGACCGCCCGCTGCGCTTCGTCGTACTTGGACTCGTAGCTCTGGAACTGCTGGTTTTGGAGGTTGAGCTGGCTCAAGAGTCGGTCGTTCTCGCCCACGAGCCGCTCGACACCGCGGAGGGTGCTCGTCGCATCGTTGAGGCCGAGAAGACTCGATGACGATGACGCGTTGGCATTCGGCGCAATGCGAATCAAATGGTCGACCTTGGTGTGCAGTTCCATGAGCATGAGGTCGAGGGGCTTTCCGCCGGTCGCGACGGGCGGCGCCATGGCCCACGGTTGGTACCCGGCGGTCGGCGGCGGCATGTACGGAGATGCATACATACTCGGCGGCATCGCATACGGAGACCCATTCGATGGCGGCGGCATGCTGCTTTGCGCCGCCTCTTTTTTTAGTTCGGCGATCTTGGCTTCCATGTCCTTGAGGGCTTGGCGCTGCGTCTCGAGCGCCGACGTCGTGTCGTCCGCGTACGGCACGAGGTCCCGCGCGGGCGGCGCGCTCGTCGACGCCGGTGCCGGCGTTGGGTCAGCGGCGGGCGCAGGTGTCGAAGGGGCAGTTGCCCGACGGCGCGGCGGCGCCTCGTCACCTCGCTCCGACTTGATCTTGAGCACCTCGATCTGCAAGATGTACCAGTCCTTCCCATTGGTCTTTGCGGGCGGGGCCAGCAGGATGCGCGACCCGGCCTTCTTCATGCCAAGCGTGCCTTCTTCCAGCGCAGCGATGCGCTCGGCCTTGTCGCCAATGCGGAACTTGCGCATGTCGCTTGTGGACGTCGCCTTCTCAAAGGGCGGGTACTTTGTCACGACGTCGAGCGGCGAGCAGCCCGCGTTGCCGACGATGCGCCAGACGCTAAAGGCGACACCGACCGTGTCGCCGTCAGCAATCACGCGGCCATCGATCGCCGAGAGCTCTTCCTTGGTGAGCGCATCGGCCGCGATCGCGCCAAACTGGCCTTGGCCCCAGATGCCCACGTGGATCTTTGTGAGGAAGAGCGTCCGAATGAACGACTGCGCATCGGTCTCGGATGCGAACCGCGCCGAGTAGTTGTCGCCGACCGCGTCGTACAGGTTGACGTACCCGTTGGCTTGCAGCGTCGCGCGGAAGGTCGTCGTGACGGGCGAGAGTGAGATCTGCTCCTTCTGCGTCTTGTAAAAGAGCACCGAGTACGTGGCATTGCTGCCGAGAATGACGCAGCCCACATTCGGGTAGCTCGCCGCATACTCCTTCTTGATGAGGTCGTACTTGTGGAGCTGGACGGCGGCGCTAAAGATAATGGTCGGCGCCTCGCCGCCCGACGAAGATGGCGCTGCCGCCGCCGGAGCCGCGGCCGCCTTGGTCGGCTCCTTGGGCGCGCTGTAGCGCAGCGCGTCGTTGCTGGCGTCGCCGCCCCCCGTCGTGAAGATTCCTTGCAGTCGCGCGCGGGCCTCCATCGTGTCCGGCTTGTCCGGCTTGGAGGATGATGGTACTTGCCAAGTGACTTTTTTTCCGGACACGATCCGGATATTGTGATCCGCAAGATCTTGTTTTTGTGCATGTCAAAAGCGACCTGCTTGCGGGCGCGAACGCGGTCCTTCTTGTTCCAGGCTGTGCTGCGCTTGCCAATTTGTACAAGATAAGACTCAAGTCTTATTTCCCTTGATAAGACTCGACCATCAGCGCCTAATCCTCGTCCGTCTGAACGCATTTGGGGTTGATGCAAGCACTTCTGACCATCGCGACTCGCTCTGGGCCTCTTTAGAGTGCCTGGCTCCGTGACGGTATCTCTCCTCTTGACAATGCCACCGTCGTTGCCGACGGCCCTGTATAAAGTGTGCTCGTTTGGCTCTACACGGTAATAGCTGCACCCCGCATTTCGCCTCGTTCGCAGCCGTCCACACGACACCACCGACTCGACCACCTCGAGCACGGTGGATATATATATATAAAGGGTGCAAGGGCGAGGTTCATGAGCAAGCTCCAGCACACCAGCTTTCGTCGAATGGCTCGGTTTGCCGCCTTGGAGCCAGCGCCTCTTCGGCTTCACTTGTCGAGGCTGCTGGCAAGATACATTCGCTTGGACGTAACACCCTTCGCACCCCGAGGCTGGACGTCCACACATTTGTTGGTGCGCTGCCGACTACAAACGTTAGTAGGCTTTGTACGACATGTCTACTAAGGTAGCAGTAGTACACGTATGGCCACCGGGCGCTGCGACACGGACCCGTGTATGTCACCAGCGGTGTTCTTCGACAAAAGCGACAATGCAGTCGTCTTGCAGTACCTTGCACCAAGTGTCGCGACGACACGTCTCTTGCGGCGAGGGGCGTCGGACAGACTCGACGGAGGAGGAACGACAGTGAACTCGTGCTTCTTAATTCCTAGTCGAGGGCACGTAATTCCTAGTCGAAATAGCAATCGCCAGTAGGAGCGAGGGTGTGTTGCGCCACGTCTGCCGTTGCGTCGGTTTGGAGCGAGTCCGGATGCGTATCCGGATAGGGTCGGAAGCCATGTGCAAGCCAAGTGACGCTGATATCGAGATGGGTAACAAACAAGGGAAGCTCAAGCGCCGGTCCAAGGAGGAGACGGACCGCCCGAGCGCGACGGACTCGCTTCCGCGCGGAGGAAACGAGCGCAAGCGCTCGATCTTCTCCCGCGGCCAGGGCGCGCCCCCGCCGCCGCCGGCCTCGGCGCCCGTCCCCAGCCATGCGCCACCGCCCATTGCGCCACCGCCCGTCTCCCTGCCGCCGCCACCGCCCGCCTCGGCGACCGGCGTCACACGCGTCCTCGAGGACAAGGTGGCCTTGCTGCGCCAGAAGGAAACGCTGTCGCTTGTCGAATGCACGCACTTTACGGCGAAAGAAATCGACTCGATCCGCGAGCACACGATGGGTCTTCTCGGGTATGGCTCGACGCCCGAGCTCCAGGACTCGAGCGTGATTCGCATCTCGAAGGAAGACTTTATGCGCTTCCTCGGCGTCTCGTCCAAGTCGCTCTTCCCGAACCGACTGTACGCGTTCTTTGCCACCAACGTGGCCGAAGAAGTATGCATGCACTTTTGTATCGCCACGTGGCTCATGGATGACATTAGCTCTCATTTGCTGACCTCGTCAAGGGCCTCTCGGTGCTGAGCCAAAAGGCAACGCGCGAAGAGAAGCTCCGCATGGCGTTCCAGTGGATGGACCCGCGTGGCGAAGGCTTCATCACACAGGAGACGACGATGTCGATGCTCAAGTCGTGCTTGGAAGAGAGCAAGGGTACGGCCGCTCTCACGTCTTGTGTGGTCGCTCAGGAAGAGGATGTGCTTAGAGATCGGGCTCACGGACGACCAGATTGAAAAGCTCGTGCTAAGCACCTTCCATGAAGCCGACTCGGACAAGAACGGCACGATCGACTTCCAAGAGTACCAGGCGCTGGACGAGCGCCACCCGGGTTTGCTCAAGTTCCTGACGGTCGACACGTCGGGCGTGCTCAACCTCATGGACAAGACGAAGGAAGGCAACGGCAGCTTCATCATGCATTGATGAATACAGTCCCGATGGATGCGGATAATGAACATATATGCAGCTGCCACTACTTTTTGTGCGAAAGGAGGACCGCCCTTGGACGCCTCTGCATGTAGGACCGAGCGCTTGGGTCTGTTAAGAGTAGAGTCAGCACAACAAGTTATAACATAGTGGATTGTGGGTCGTCTACGCTTACTTCTTGGCGGCCTTCTTGGCCTCGACCGGGAACGTGCCCGTCGTGCCGTAGAGGGCCAAGTACGCCTTCTGGCGCACAAGCAGGCTGTTGGAGATCGGGCTCTGCTGGATGCCACGGCCCCACTTGTCAAAGGACGCCAAAGCGCTCGCGACGGGCGTAGCGACCGGGGCTGCCTTGGGGGCAGGCGTCGGCGCCGGGGCAGGCGTCGCGACTGGCGCCGGGATCGCCGGGCCGGGCACGGTCTTCTGCGGGACTTGCGACGTGACCAAAAAGTCAGCGGGCGCGACCGGGGCGTTCGTCGCCGGGTCGACCTTGACCTCCTCCTTCTTGGGCGGGATTTCCTCCGGCGACTTGGGCGCCGGCGTCGGAATCGCCGCCGCGTCCACGACGTAGTTGGCAAACGCGCCAACGTCACCGGCGTCTTCGACCGTGATCATGATGGGCTGACCGACGTTGATACCTTCCGCACCCTCCGGCACCAAGATGCGCGCGAGGAACATATCGTCCTGGGCTTCGTAGTCGACGATGGCCTTGTCCGTCTCGATCTGGCAGATGATGTCGCCGGCCGAGATGGCGTCGCCTTCCTTCATGTTCCACTTGGCGAGGTTGCCCTGCTCCATCGTGGGCGAGAGCGCGGGCAGACCCACAAGCTCGTGAGCGGGGTACGTGGCGAAGCCACGGCGCAAGAAGGCAGCGCGGGAGGTCAGGCGGGCAGCACGGGCGAGCATCGTCGGTCTCTGGACTCGGAGCAGAAAACAGTAGTGACCGCCAGCGCCCCAGGAACACCCTCAACGTCGCGCTGCGATGCCATTGGCTGAAATGCGCACTTAACCGACGCTGCGAAAATCCAGTGGCGGTATTTTAGCCAATCATTGCGCTCGAGATATTGTGATGTGGGCTTTCTTTGAAGATGACAGGAAGACACGCCCTTCATCCGAGCCCTTCGCATCGACGAGGTGCATCGAACGTCGAGCAAAGATGGCCTCAAGGACGTATTGGGCGTTTTCTATCTTAGATGGCAGCTGGAGCTCTGGCCAAGATGCATGGTTCGGGGTATATTAGCAAGGAGCGAGGGTCCTGACCAGGCCATTTGCGGTCGCGCAATCACCAACTGATGTTCATCATCGTCCACATCCTCCTCCTTTTACCGCAGCGTCATTTCCAGAGACATTGGACCTCACGTAGAAGCAAGACGAGGTCTTAATTGTTATAGCTTGGATAAGACCCAAGATATAAGACCCAGGATAAGACCCAAGAGTTTCAAGAGTTTCGAAAGCCTTCTCACGCCTAACCGCTGGTGCTATCGAGCGGTAGCCATTGTGCAAACACACCGTGGTACAGGAGAAGACATAGGACAATGACGTATCATGTACAAGAGAGTTACGAAAGTGATATCAAAATGTGTTAGTATCGGGTGGCTATCAGCATCGTGATTGGCTTAAATATTTTAGGCCTTTCGACCAATGCTCTATTCATCGTATATTCATTCGTGCACAAGTAGACAATGTCTGCCCTCTGATAGCCGAGTCAAGAAGAAATGATGGAAAACAACGTTCACAGGTTAGACTTATATAGGACGCGCGACAATGTTTGCGATGACACAGAGACGATTCAACGACCAATCACAACTCCAAGTCTAGTTGGCTTCGGTGCGGAGGCTCGACTTAGTGAGGTACGGCGCGATAAAGTCCTTGCCGTACGAGAGGCGCGAGTAGACACCCGGCTTGTTGGCCTGCGCACAGCCCTCGCCCCAGCTGACGACGCCGATCTGGACCTCCTTGCCGTTCTTGGTGGCCGTGAGCGGACCACCCGAGTCGCCCTGGCACGAGTCCTGGCCCTTGACGCCGCCCGCGCAGATCATGGACTCGTGGATGCCGTTGAGGTTCTTGGCGCACTGGTCGTTGGCCCAGACCTTGACGCCGACCTCGAGCAGCACCTTGGACTGCGCGCCGTTGGAGCGCGTGGTCCCCCAGCCGCGCACCTTGGCGACGACGCCCGGCGCGTTGGACGCGTCGTCGTCAAAGCTGAGCGTCACAGGCGTCTCCCTGCTCGCGCGCTCGAGCTCGAGGATGCCAAAGTCGTAGTGCATCTCGTCGCTCGTCCACTGCGGGTGCGCGATGGCCTTGACGACGCGGATGCGCTCGCCGTCGGCGCCACCCGACGTGTAGTGGGTGCCCACGGCCGCGTAGTCGATCGTGAACCCGGCAACGCAGTGGGCCGCCGTCAGCACGTACTTGGGCGCGATGAGCGTGCCACCGCAGCGGCTGCTGGACGTGGCCGACCCGCCGCGGAGACCGGTAATGTACTTGAACTGGCCGACGGGAACTTCGGTGCCGCCGACGATCTCGGGGTTGCCGCCTTCGGGGACGATGTCAGCGACGGCGGCCGCGGCGCAGAGCGCGAGGAGCGTGGTGTGGAGCTTCATGGTGGTGGTGGTGACGAAATTGGAAATGGACTGGTGGAAAGAGGCCGCTGGTTTGGGTCGAGGTGGTCGAACTCAGACATGGAAGAGGTCGAACTCAGACTCATGGGTCGTACTGGTAGGGCTCAAACTCAGACTCGTGGGTCGTGAGCTGGTGTGGCTTGTAGGGCTAGGTTTATACCTGTTTGGATCTATGACGGCGGCGTGACGATTACACATCACGACCATCTATAGACCTCATAGTACTACGGGTAGTAGCAACCTTTAGCGCGCGTCACACCAGTACCTGATATCAGGTCTGGGCCTAGAACGCGGTCTCAGATGCACCTGCGATCGGAATCTGGGTCACCACATGGTACGGAGCCGCCTGAATAC